TGGGTGCACGATCAGTGGAGGCACGTTCTTTTTACGAACGAGTCCCGTTTCCGACTAAGTCATAATGATGTCTGGCGTCGAATATGACTGAATGAACTGTTTTCGGTTCTGTTATGGTATAGGGAGGTATAACTTTAAACAGTTACGGGTTACGGATGTACATATCATAGATAAAAAATACCATCTATTGTACAGACTTGGATCTATTTTCAAACGGCACAGTTAATGTTGAACGATACAGAGACGAGTTTCTTGAATCATATGTAATTCCATTTGCTGCGCAGCATGGTCCAGATTTTATTTTAAAACAGGATAATGCCATGTCACATACTGCAAGAATAGTTACTACACGACGGCGACGCCAGTATCACAATTATGGCTTGGCCTGCTAGTAGCTCTGATCCCAATCTTATTGAGCACCTTTACGACCTACTATAGAGAAGACTACAAAGTCGTCCATTAGCGCCAGATTTTCAAACTTTGTCAAAAAATCTTCACAGGAGTGGAACGCATTTCCTCTAGATATTATTCGGAATATTATTGAGACTATGCCAAATCATGTGCAGAAGTGCGCAGAAACCGTGGAGGACACGCACACATTGTTAAGAAAAAAATCTTTTCATTGACAATTTAGATAAAAATTGTTTAGAATTATTTTCGGTACTTATTCTTGTCATTCATAATATCATAAAAACACAATTTTCAGCAGTTTGGCACTTTTTTCTTTAGGAAGACCAAGGTGCATAGACTACATTCAAACTTAATTCCTTAGAAACTTATTGCTAAGTTTATATTTTAAAATAAATATATTTTCTTTGTTTAAACGAAATTTATCAAAGTGATCACTAATTCATTTTAATTAGTTTATATCCTCCAACGTGCCTCTGACTGCAATCGATACACGGTCTAATTTAGTTTTTCATCTGTAACATTTAAACTTTTCGGTATTTTCGTAATAAAAAAAATTATAGCGAAATCGTAAAGTGCGTCCCGTATAGTATATTTAAAAAAACTTTGTTTGCACATCATAATACGACCATCAGCAAACTCCATAAGACGACGCATGGTGTCGTTGATGACGTGCAACCAAAGTTTTGTTAAATATACTATATCTCATTCGCCTCGATTTTTTACATACCAGTTGTATTCTCCCAGGTCTATTCTTGTCAGACACATATCTTCCTTTTTTTCATGTATGAGCGGTTAATAAACCGCACTAAAACCGCACTAAATATAGTGAGTGATAGTGATATTTTTCCACTTGCGTGGTAAATATTTTTGGCCCATACCCATGATATAAAGAGGTGGAGAAAATGGAACCAGATCCTCAAGTCTCCACCTCACGGGTATCTCAGCCGGAGACAAGCTCCTGGACTGTGAAGGGCACAGAGGGCTAAACCCCAACCGTGGAAGGGTGTATAAGTAGGTAAATGTCCACTTTTCGGAGGATGGATTATCTCTCGGAGGATTATCTGTTATCAGAGGAGGATGGGGAATAGCCTGTCCTCCTACAACAGGAAGATCGCCATGTATGATGAGTTATAACTCAAGAAAGGCGGACACAATAGATCTTTAAGGGCGCGGTGATTAACCCTCCTTGTAGTCTACCACTACATACCTTCCTCTACATTCTTCTACATACTAGAGGTGGGCAAAGATTGAACGAGTATTAAAAATGAATCGTGAGATTTGATTCACTGCTTAGAATACGGTTCGTTCATCTGAATCGTGGCCAGCACGGATCCATAAAATTTGAACGATGAGCCATAAAAAAGAGTCGTAAGAATTGAATCGGATCACAATGCGATCTTTCGTTTCTACGACTCATTCGTTCAAAGAATCGTGAGAATTGATTCATCGCTTACAATAATGTTCGTTTATAAAATTTACATTAGAATTATAAACTACAAGTCTGTGTCAAAGCCTTGAGACTGCATGATGAGTTATAACCCAGTTTCTACGGCTCGTTCGTTTAAAGAGTCGTGAGAATTAATTCATTGCTCACAATACCGTTCGTTTAATTGAATCGTGTCCAGCACGGATACGTAAAATTTGAACGATGAGCAGTAAAAAAGAGTCGTAAGAATCGGATCACAATGGGATTAATTCGTTTCTATGGCGCGACGGTAATATAGGTATAGAGATAGTCGGGCACCAATATTTAGACTTGAACAAAATCTTAAATGGGCATAAAATGCAAACGATAAGAAAGTTCACTTAGTACGGGAGTATCTGTAATGCACTTAATTTTTACGTTACATTTTTGCTTGTTTTTTTGTTAAAATGATATTTACCGACTATAAACCATTAAATGTCGGACTAAAAGACGAAATCGTATTTTTATGCAACTCCGAATAAATATTGTTGGTCTCGGCTAAATATGATGATGAAATGAAGATCGCTGTTATTTCATATGTAAAATTATATGGGGAATGTTATCGATGTTCATTTCCAAGCCAACTAGACGTCATCTTTTTTTCGATTATGCGGTTATTATATACTGTTATACGGATTCCGTGGGTCCACTATTTAAACTCACGATAAAAATACTTAACGAATTTATTTTCTCACTTTATACACAATTACTAACTTATAACACACAACAAACTAACTATTTATAAGATTCCTTCACCAAATTGTCCGATTTTCAATTTCCACGCGGTATATTCAAATTTCAAAAACTGTCCCAGTTGTCGATGGCTCCGGCTTATATACTCTATTGACTGCTTCTCGAAATTTCCCCAATTCTCGGAAAGCGTACTTCTTCATACCAGACAATTCCATTGTCTGATTCCCTTACTTCTCGACTTGACTAAAAGATGGCGCCTGAAAAAGTCTTTTAATTTCTGGCGGATACGTTGCGGTTGTGCAGGCAACCAGTAATACATTTTTAATTTCTGGCGGATACGCCATTTTTCTTGACATTGCCCCCTTCTCAAATTTTATCGTCCCGATCAAGGTTCCTGTCTGGTATCTCTTCAATCGATCCAGATGAACTACTTTCATCTTACTTCTAGGGCTGCGTTGAATCCGGTACACAACATCATTTATCCTCTTGATGACTGTATAAGGACCTTCCCATGCTGGAGTTAACTTTGGGGACCTCCCTTTCTTGCGCTGTGGGTTATATAACCATACCATATCGTCCTGTTGAAATCCCGTAGAATTGGCTCTGAGGTCGTAACGAGCTTTCATCCGGTCACTGGCTAGCGTAATCTTACTTCTTACGGCCTTATGAATTTCCATTAACCTTTCCTTCAGTTCATCCGCGTAGTCCTCTACATTTGTGGTGCCGTCGTCTGGTGATCCGAACACCAAGTCACAAGGCAACCGTAATTCTCGACCAAATAAAATCTTCGATGGTGAAAGTCCGGTGGTGTTGTGAACTGCACTTCTATACGCCATTAGGAACAGCGGTATGTGTTGATCCCAATCTCTTTGATGTTCGGCCACCATTTTCGAGAGGTGTTCTTCAATGGTCTTATTGAATCTTTCGACCATCCCATCAGACTGCGGATGTAAAGCTGTTGTCCTAGTCTTGTGAATACCAAGCAGATCACACATCTTCTGGAACAGTCTTGACTCGAAGTTCCTTCCTTGGTCAGTGTGAAGCTCTAAGGGAATTCCAAATCTACTGAAGACATTATTGACCAATACTTCAGCTACAGTCGATGCTTCTTGGTTTGGAATGGCAAAAACTTCTGGCCATTTACTGAAATAATCCATCGCTACTAAAACGTACTTGTTGCCCTTGTGCGTTTCAGGGAATGGGCCTGCAATGTCAACAGCGATTCTTTCGAATGGCAGTCCAACGTTATATTGTTTCATTTTTCCCCTAGAGCGAGTGCTTGGTCCTTGGCTGGCTGCACAAGTTTTACATTGTCGACACCATTTCTTGACATCTTCGCAATAATCCACCCAGTAAAAACGATCTCTCAGCTTGCTCAAGGTCTTGTTTACTCCAAGATGGGCTCCAGTTCTACCACCGTGAATTTCTTCCAATACCTGGGTAACTTTCTTCCTTGGTACCAGTAACTGAGTTGTTACTGTCCTGCCATCTATTCAAATTTCAAAAACTGTCCCAGTTGTCGATGGCTCCGGCTTATATACTCTATTGACTGCTTCTCGAAATTTCCCCAATTCTCGGAAAGCGTACTTCTTCATACCAGACAATTCCATTGTCTGATTCCCTTACTTCTCGACTTGACTAAAAGATGGCGCCTGAAAAAGTCTTTTAATTTCTATCGGATACGTTGCGGTTGTGCAGGCAACCAGTAATACATTTTTAATTTCTGGCGGATACGCCATTTTTCTTGACAATACTATTTATTATATGATTATTAAATCGGAATTAAAATATGCTCTAAAAATATTAAATCGGTAGTAAGAAGTCTTTAATTAATAGTATATATGAATTGGATTGATAATTAAATATTATTGGTAAAATAATCAATCCAATTATCGCCTGTAGTGGCAGATACGATTCTTGTTTTTATGAAACGTAAAGTGTGCAGGTGGTTCGTTCAAATGAACGAATCGTAGGAGTCGATTCGATATGAGAGATTGAATATTGAATAGTGTGATTCGATTCACTAAAAAGAATCGTAATGCCCATCACTATTACATTATACCGATTTAATAAAATAATACAAATACTGCCCTATCACAATAACATATAGTACTGCCCTATCACAATACTAATTTAATTTTAGTGCAATCAAAATTTAAAAAAAATTAAAAAGTTTTTATAAAATATAATTACATATAAATTTCCGTTTTTGTGCGGAACAACATTGCTCTTTTGCACAATTTTTAACCACATTGCTACGGTTTCCATGATAGGAGGCGATATTTTCCACTAAAATGTTTTCCTTTATTTTATTCCGACAATGTGTATGTATATGTATATCCTCTTCAGCTTATGTCCGATAATCTATAGCGATACGTTATCAGTACAATTAACGTCGTTTTAAAAAATACCCGTGGAGAGTATAAAACAAACAATGTCGCCACACGATTTTCAATTCGGTTTTGGGCGTTCTTAATTTCAAGTACATCAATTGCATACCCGAATAGTGTACTTAAAATGATGCGTCTCTTTGTTTTGATTAGTTTTGTCTTTCTGGTGGCGAATGGCGCATCCATTCAGACATCCGAAGATGAAGTTGTGGCTGCAGTTTTGCGACAAATGGAAGTTATGGATTCTGAAAACTACACAGTGGTAGGTGATATTAACAAATTAGCCTCAATATCTCTAAAGAAATTTGAAATAAAATGTGAAAAATCGGGAAAAATTAGTGGGTTTAGATGTTTCAAACAGTTTATATCTATTTGGCTAATAAAGAAAAAACATTTCTATGGAAAAAAGCTACCACCTTAATTTTGTTATTTTTTTTTATTTCTTTGCATTAAAGTAGTGAATTTGCTGCAACTTTCGGACAGGAGATATTATAATAATGATTATTTACTGATATTAATTGACTAAAAGTATTGATAATTGGGAAATCTAAACCTTTTTCGACAATTTCTAATAAATGGTATATTTAAATAGCAAATTTCTAAGGACTGAAATATTGGACAGTGTTATTATTTTATATTTCCCTCTTTACAGGTACTTTTGATTTTTTTAGCTTCAGCAATCATTTAAAAAACAAGTCATAAGTTATTTAGACAAATTTTAATATGTTTTGCCAAAATTACTATTAAAAAACATATACTCAAATGTTTATCGATTTCAAGTGTGTTGTGGAATTCGACATATCTATAGTTAGTTAGCAACTCCCTTTATATATTTTTTTGTCAGATTTAAATAAAACAAGGCGCGAACAAATTCTACCTAGTAAACTTTTATTTTATTCAACAACTATGATATTTTATAGAGTACCATTTTTACTAATACATCAAAACTTGATTAAAGTCTCCTCCCAAGAAGTTCAAACCTCTCCTAAATGTTGTCTCCGAAAGCTTGTTTATACAAAAAATTCGTAGATTTCGTGTAGTCTAATTTCATTTTTAATATTTATTACTTGCTACTTATTCTCGTTAAAAACTGTCGAAAATAAAGATATGAAAAATTGTATACCTTCCGTTTTCTTATTTTTATTATTTTAATGATATCATTAAAGCGCAAATTACGCGCGTGTGAATTGTAAAAAATCATTAAATCGATGTTGGCTTACCACAATAAATCCATGGGCAAAACTGTGATTATTTTATTTACTGGTCAGGATAGAAACTTGCTGCGTCCAAAATTTTCTGGATTATAAAAAAGTACAGTCGCTTATGTATTTTATTGGATACTGTCTCTCAAAATAATCTCACTGGTAGACTGTGACAATGTGACACTGTGACTGCTTAGTTAGAGATGTCCATTAGTCAATATTGTCCAATAGTCAATATCTTCTATAGCATCTATGCTTTTCTACTGCTACGAATCATGTCCTGACCTGCCGACGCTCAAACAATCTCTGCAGATTCAACTTAATGTATAAATATGTTGATAAACTAAAAAATATTCCTATGACATGCTAAACGTGTAAAGTAAAGAGTTAAGTTAGATTATATATAGGACGATATCGAAAATAATCATGAGGAATAGTTTATCAGAATTTTAATTTTAATTTTTTCTTCTCCCAAACTTTGTCTTAATAGACATAAACATATAAGTTTAAAATTTCTATATTACACACCAGCACCTATAACTGAATTTTAAAGAATTAAAAACTAACCATTTTCATATTTTGACATTATATTTAGATCCACTGCGACCTTTTCAGATCTATTGTGGTTCTCTTCTGATCTTTAGGTTATATTCTCCAGTCCTATCATTTTCACAAAGTCTAGTAACTTGGGGACTGACGTCTGTAGCTCTCTGGCAATGGCCTGTCATTGCCTATTACCGAGAACCGCAAATTTGCCAGGCTGTAGCACCAATATAAAATATCTTCTGTCGTTTCGTCATCTGATTGACAGAACCTGCACATGGCTTCGTCCGTCAATCTCATTGGCTTTAGATGCCTATTCAGTTTACAATGCCCTCTTAGTAGACCCTTTACAGATTTGACTGTCTTTCTGTCTTTGTTTATCATGTCTGCCGCGAATGTTCTGCAATGAATTTTTTCTCCTGTCTTCGCCTGTCTCTCTGTGTGTTTAGACACAGCTACTGTGCATAAATGCAATCCTATTCACTATAATGAAATATATTATGATCACTTTTTATATGTGATACAAAAGATTTGAAATATTCTAAATAAATGTTTTAGATACCTGCTTTTACTTAATTTCCTGTTGAGTGATCAGTTTACTTGACAGTATTACTTGCAAAGTATTTAATTATTTTACGAAACAAATACTGACGTGCAAGAAGCATATATTTAAGAAAACGTATTTTTGATAATACTGGTAGAGATCCCTCGAATTACATATTTTTTGGCATATTTTAATTTGCACATATTTTGGTGTGGGAGTAGAGTTTGTTTTTCTCTAGGTCGTCATCTCTTGGTCAACGACGTAATATAATATTCATATATTCAAGGTATATTTATTATGAACCTTCTTGGATCCATACGTGTTAAAATATTTCAACATATGAAAGTTTAGTTTTATCTGGGGGCACGGCAATGCACTTGCCAAGTCGAGCACAGCCAATGTCAATACCATCCTTTTCTCGAAGAACTCCACTTCACGGTACTTTTACCTCCCTTCCCCCTAAAACTTCAATATAGAAAAAGCAAGAGATTTAGTTTTTATTCGTCAAAAAGACATACTATAACTGGTTATATTGCCAATGTATCAAATAAATAAACCATAAAATTTATGAATTGCATAATATACGATTTTAGTGGTAAATTTCTTTCATTTCGATAGTGACTCACCAATCATCAAAATTCTAAGGTCGAAATTAAGTTTCAAAAAAAATCTAATTTTGAATTTTAGTTAGCAGCGACTTTCGAAAAAAAAGGAAGCATATTTTTACTCGAACTATTGACACTACCTAGTTTGAAAAATTGGATAACATGCAATCTAAAAAAATATCGTAAATCGATATTAAATTTTGATCAATTGAAAAAATTCTATAAAATGTGTATCGGGGTGGCCCAGGCTTGGTAATCACTAAATTTGAGGTTTAGACTATACACATATTTTTGACAGGCAGTTTTTTTCGTCCAAAATTTTTTAATTTTTTTTTTCTCAAAAACAGTTATTGTTAGATATAGAGTGTTTAACATCAAAATTCATAAATATTTACAGAGAATTTAAATATGTAAGAAAAAATGGAAACACCTATTTAAAATAAGAAAGTTGTTGTCATCAACCTAACCTAACTGCCTAAATAAGTGCTCATATTGAAAATATTTTTAATCGATAGATCTCGTTGTGAAACAATGATGTGCAAAAAATCTCCGATCTAGATATTGTGGTTCTCTAGAAACTTCTAATGCTCGCGCAGCCTGGGACACCCTGTATACGTCATCATAGAAGGCCCGTGAAACTTAAAAGAAAGAAATAAAAATTAAATGATATAAAAATAATATTTGTTTACCAAAAAGGTCGTAGATCTAATTATCGGACCAACCTTCATGTCGAGTATTTTTACTAAATTTGGCGAGGTACTTCAACAGCGTACTTGAGAAGATACTTAAACCAAGAGTGATTAATTGTATAAAAAATTTACTCAGGTTTTACAACAAACAATATAACGGGTGCGTCTCAAAATTGGCTTATCCCTATAACTTTTTTACTTTTTCAGATAGAAAAACGAGATTTGGTAAGTTAGCATATAACATAAATTAGGATTGATTGACGTATTCAATTATTTTCGGCTACTTCCTCTTTCACCGGAAATGACTACAACTTTTGATTTTTAAATGGCACCCTGGGTATTTTTTTACTTTATTGGATAGAAAATGATACTCTGAATAGAATGCCATATCATATAACTTTTGACATTCTCGCTTAATAAAAAATCGTATTTTAAAATTCAATTTAGAGTGCCATGGCTATGTTAAAATCACTTATTCTTAATCAAGGAGTCTTGGAAAAATAGATTTGATCCTCTAATGTTCTTAGCATCTTGTCCTAGCCGGATAAAAGATGCCCAAATCGTATTTTTAATCATATCTCAATTTTTTCAAATGGAACGAGGGTGGTTCATTAGCATATTTTTACGAATAATTTGGTACCATACACTTGGTATTTCCAGTCAAATTGTTGTTATGAATCACACATGTTGCAATTTTAAATAAACGATATTCGCAAATATCAAAAAAGTCAAGTTCAATCATTTTCTATCGAATAAAGTATCAAAATACCGAGGGTGCTATTTAAAAATGAAAAACTGTAGTCATTTTCTGTGAAACAGGAAGCGACCAATCAATCCTAATTTGTCATATACTAATATACCAAATCTCAACTTTTTATCTAAAAAAGTAAAAAAGTTATAGGAGTGAGCCACTTTTGAGACGCATCCGGTATAGTTTATTAAAGAAAGTTAAGTTTCAAAGCAAAAGCAAACATCTCAGTAGGGTGGAGTGGAATTTTTAAAATGGAAAGCGATTCGTTAAAGGTAATAAAGAAGAAAAGTAGAAAAACATTTTTGCATACCTACCCATATACAGACCATAATACAGATCCTACAGACATTTGAGAGACTACAGACATTTGAGCAAATTCATATTATAGTCTGTTTCTTAATGCTCGATAGCAAAGCGAAAAGGGCTGCACTTTATGGTTATGAACCCCTCCAATTTATATAAAAATACATGTATGCATTTTTACAGGTATAAATTGTAATGTAATAATTTACAGTAAGTAATGTTTATTATATCTGAACAAATATATCAATAATTTTAAAGTATCTTATTATCTCTCAGTTTTCTCGAATCATGACACTAAATAATGTCAATAAATAACTACATACTTTAAAAATATTATTCTAGTTTTTTTTAATACACAACATCAATCCAAAACTGATTGTGTTATTAAAAATCTAAAGGAGTATACCTGAAGTTAAGTTTTTTTAGGAACTTTCCATATTTCAATCTACTTGAAATATTATCGCTATACCTAAATAATTTCTAATACAAAATATATTTTTAAGAGGAAGTATTGGTAGGTATTACATTTTCTTTTGGATCTTTTCAAATTAAATGTACTGCGATAAAAGCATAACTTTCAAACAAAACAGTGTTTCTCAAAACAACGTTGTTCCGCAATTGCTAGAGTGGTCGCATTTAAAGAAGAGGGGGGGGACAAGATTGTGGATGGAAAGGCGAGGACCGATCACGAGCGCTCGAAGTTCGCTAAATGCCGCATGTGCGGTTGCGGCATTAACTAGGCGCAAATTGAGTCGCGTGTATCGCGTGTGACATGACCTTACATGATATGGCGCGACCGGCATCACGCGACGCGGCACTCGCGCTTCTTGGCGGTCCACAAACTGGGACGCAGTTTTTCAGTGACGGCTGCATAAAAATGTCTTATTCGCCATCGAAACTATTATTGTTACTAAAAAATAGTTTGCTGAATCAGAATCAGATGATGCCGAAGTGTAAATTTTACTGTATTCAATAATCAAAATTAATGAACGCGAACGCTAGACGCTGCCAATTAGCGGTGTCCCAGTTATTTATGTTGTTTACAAAAACTCGCGTCGTGCCAGGTGAAACACGCGATAGACGCGACTCAATTTTCGCGTAGCCTAAGGCATTTTAGTGACAATAATTGTTTCGATGGCAAATTAGACATTTTTATGCAGCCGTTTTTATACGATTGCGTAATCACTGAAAAACTGCCCAATTTGCGAACCAAGAAGCGCGAGTGCCGCGTCGCGTCATGGCGGTCGCGCCATGTCATGTCAGGTCATGTCACGCGCGATAGACGCGACTCAATTTGCGCCTAGCCTTATCCAATGTGCACGTTCAGGGAACACAGCGGATGACTGACCGCTGAGACTTTTGCTCAGTGGCTGACCGTTTTTATGTGTAAAAATTTACCGTTCAGGGAAGTCGCTTAAGCTTGTCGCCCACTTGGCCGTCACGTCCCGTCCCGTTCCGGCCCGTCAAAATACGGATAGGATTAAAACCATGCAAATGAATAGACTATCGCACATTAGCCCGTCACGGCACGGAACGGCGAGTCCGTCGACGGAACAGATTCCAGCTCTCCGACTCTCCCCGTCAAATGACGGCCCGTGCCGGGACGGGCCGGGACGGGCCGGCCAAGTGTGCGTGAAGCCGGCCGTCGCCGGCCGGCGCTGGCCTGCACCAACTTGTGGAAGCCTGTCGATCGCATATACATATGTTTTGCAATTATTTCGGCAGTTGTTGTTGTTGAGTCCGAGAAAGCAGTCCTAAGAAAAAAAATTAAAAATGGACGATGAAAAATTAATTTGTTTAGTACAAAAATATAGGGAAATTTATGATATAACTGATAGTGCTTATCATAACCAGCAACAAAAGGACAACATATGGGAGGAAATCGCTGGAGAAATAAACAGACCCGGTATGTATTTATTTTATTATTTATAAATATATCATATATTTTTTATATATATTCAGCCAAAATCACATTTCAAGGTTTTTTCTTTTGCCTTTTCTTACTATTGCTGTTTGCCATGACACCGACCCGGTCCCATTAAAATAATTTTTAAATTTATTTCTAATCTCTATTGCAACTGTAGTTGAAGATCCGCCTATTCCCGATATATCTCTTAATCCTTGGGGGGATTGGTTATCTTCGTCAGCTTCAGTCCAATGACATGTATCATTTCGAAGAAAATTATGTAAACAACATGTAGCAAGTACAACTTTATCTAGGTGCTCAGGGATAATTTGAAGACGCCTCTGGTAAATACGAAATCTCTTTGTCAAAATTCCAAAAGCATTTTCGGAAACTCGCCTAGCTCTACTAAGTCTATAATTATATATTTTAACGTCCTCGTTATTAAGTATTTCGTTACCTGGATATGGACGCATTACATGTTTTTGCAAAGGAAAAGCCTCATCTCCAACGAAGACGTGGGGCATAATTTCATTAGTGCCAGGTAAAGACTTGTCCTGAGGTAAATCTAAAGTATTTTTCAACAATTTCTTTCCGATTGCTGAATTTGCAAATATTCCCCCATCGCTATTTCGTCCATAGGCGCCGACATCAATAGCAATGAATTTACAATGAGCATCTACAAATGCAAGTAAAACAATACTAAATGTTTTCTTGTAGTTAAAAAATAAGGAGCCACTATTGGGGGGTTTGTCGGTAACTACGTGCTTCCCATCGATGGCAGCAACGCAGTTTGGAAAATTCCACATCTTATTGAACACCCTTTCACTATTTATCCAAGTTTCCTTTGAAGGAGAAGGTATTACCAGTGGTCCCAAATTTTTCCATATTGCATCGCAACATCCATAAACAATTTTACGAACTGTTGTTTCTCCAAGTCGGTAGCTAAACGCAATTGTTCGGAATGTGTCTCCCGTAGCAAAAAACCTAAAAAAAGTAATGAAATAGTTACCAAACCAGTTGAACCAGTTGAAATATTTTAAAATATCATAACTTTTATACCAAGACTGCTATCACGCCCTTTTCATATTTAAGTTTGTAAATAAATACTAGAAATTTCGTAATAAGCTCCAATTGTTAAATTTTTTTAATGTAATGGAGTTTCCTGTCAATAAATAAATGAAATAAAATAAAAACTTGGTCAGACCTTTCTCAGAAATATTTCAAAATAAAATTGACTCTCCTCTCTTTCTAGTACCATTTTTTTTTGTTTTTTTTTTTATTATAGTTACCGAATGCAAGAAAAGATGGAGCACGTTAAGAGATACCTATCGAAAATCTCTTAGGTCTCAGAGAACTAAAAGTGGTGAAGGAGCAAAAAAAAAAAAGATTTGGCGATATGACAAACACATGTCTTTTTTGCGATGTTTTTTAGTAGACAGACAGCAAATTAGTAATGTTGAGCAGTGTGATTCATCAGAAGATGAAACACAGGAGCGGGAAGAAGACAGTAATGTCACAGATGATGTTAGCAGTCCCAGCAGTATTCCAAAAGGTCCTTCTACATCCAAACCTTGCAGTTCTGCCTCTAACACATCTCAAACATCAACTCATAAAGGGTCAAAACAGGCAAAAAAAACACTTTCATCAGCAGAAGTGCTTCATGATTATTTAAAAGAAAAAAACAGTCAAAAAAAAACACCACTAGAAAGACAGAACGCTTCAGATGCTATATCAAAATTTTTTGATTGTATGGCAGAAACAGTTAAAACATTGTCTCCTCAGTTACAAATTGAAGTCAAATCAAAAGTTTTTGCAATAGTTAGTGATGCAGAAATAAAAAATCTAAATTTTAGCCCGATAAGTCCAACCACCAGCCAAAAAGTTACTTTAATTTCTAATCAACCACCTCGATCTACAAATGTTCCTCAACAAAATAGGGTCACAATGCCACAACCACATTTTCACCAGCAACAGCAGCATCAGTTGCCATATCCGCAGCCTCAAACACAGCACTCACCAGCCATATCACCAAAGCCCTTTTCACAATCACAATCACTCTTATCATCATATTCTCAGCAACACATACCATTTGCTTCTGTTCTACAACCTACCACCAGTTTCACCGAACATTTTGATGACAATAACGATGATAATGATCTTACACAGATCTAGAATGCTATTTCGTATTCTATAGTCGGTGGTGTTAGTGACATTAAACACCAAAATATTTCACTTCCGGATACCAGCACCAAATTTTGTTAAAAACAGTTTTTACACATATAAGAGATTGAAAAAACTATCCGAAGACTGGGGGTAAGTCTCCTGTATTTTGGGTGGTTGTAAATATTTTTACACAAACGCCACGGACTATTATGCTTTATATTTAGAACAATTAATATTATTTGTTGGTAATTATCAAAGAATGTTTTTTTATTTCGTTTTTTTTAAGAAAAGAATATTACTTTTGTGCTTTGACATTTATAATAAACATTAATAAGCTAAAATACCGATTTATTACTTACCTTAATGCTACGGCAAGCCTTTCTTCTTTCGATATTGCTCTTCGAAATGAGGAATTTTGAAATGATAAATCAGGCTCTAAAATATCAAGCAGTTCTAGGAATTTATTATGCGACATTCTAAAATATTGAAAAAATTTCTTTTCATCTTCTTTTAAATCGTTAAATAAATGATGGAATTCTCCGAGTTCAGCCCTCTTTTGATTAATGGGATGGACCCACATCTTTCTCTTTATCTTCTTTTTATTTTCTTCTTCTTCTGCCAAAAATGCGGCCGCTACAATAACTTCTTCATCAGAACTGCTGCTTTACACATAGTGACCCAGTCACTGCTACATGTAAACTAAAATAAAAAGATCTTCGCAACACACGACCGCGACGTGACGGTTTGCCGGTTTCCACCGGAAAAGTGGGCGACCAAGCTCTCCGTCGCCTGCAGGCGACGGGCAGCTACGGTCCGTGCTGTGCCGGACAAGTGGGCGACAAGCTTTACTCAGCCGCTTACCGTCCGTGAACGCGCACAATATTTTGCCGCTGAACGCCTCCTCGGCGGAACAACTCGAAATATTATTTTATAGCGTTAGAATAAAAATATCTAATGGTGCTCATGGATTACCGAACCGTCGAATAGCAATAAAGGGAGTAAGGGCTCCTGGGTCCTATTTTAAATGCGCCCACTCTACCCGACATTCGTTTTTTTTTCTAAATTCTAAAAATGTATAACTGTAAATATAATTTATATATATAAAGCGGGGGTCCTACAGCTTCTGCCGCATCCCGCATATCGCTCGATTTTGCCATTCTTCCTATCCTTAATAGCTCTATCTCTCATGTACTGGTGTACTCCATACTCCCTCTAACCACGTAGTTGTAGGTCTTCCTCTTTTCTTTCTACTTTTGGGACGATACTCCATTGCCCTTTTTGGCATCTTCCCTCTCCCATTCCTTTTTACGTGCTCACACAATAGTAGCTATCTCGATTCAATGTTTTCTGTTGTCGGTGCTGTTATACCGTATGATCGAGTAAAAACGGCGTCAGAGATGATTCTGAAATGACGATCGATGACATTTCCCATATAATTTTACATATAAAATGACAGCGATCTTCATTTCATAGCCATCGCTGACGCCGTTTTTATTCGATCATACGGTATATATGCCTTGTTCTTTGCTTGATTTCCTCATTTCAAATGTGCTCCATCCAGAGCTGCAACAAGTCAGTTTTAAAAGACTTAAGTCTTAAGTTATTTCTATAATCAAAATGATTTAAGTCTTATGTCAAATTCAACATAAAGTTCAAATGATATAAGTCTTAAGTCTTTAACTTAAATCATTTTATTTCAAGTCAAGTCATTGTAAAGAGTTAAATAATATAACGTTATTAAAGTCGTTTTCATGACTTAAGTTTATATTTTTGACTTAAATCATGATGATCTACAAGTCAGTAAAATGACAACCAGAGTTCAATTAAGTATGTACCTTTTTTAAATGTTAATATTAATTTTCTTGTATTACCAATTAGCGATTTTCTTACTAAGTATCATATTACTAATTTATTGTAGATACAGATGAGACTTAAACCACATAAAAAACGGTTAATTTTCAGAACAACTATAAACACTACAGATATATGTCATCGAATGCCTATTAAAAAGTGTTGTGTTTTGATCACTATGTAATATATCGATGGAATAAGCTAAGGACTGGGGGGAATTTAAGGTACTCTTCAATATATTCGGAACAAATTTCTTTTGTTCGTCTTTTGGGACTACATAACGGAGTCGGGGGTCGGGGATTCACTTGAAAGATAATAGATTCACTACCACCCGTAACACGACAAATAGTCAAAGCCGATTCCGAAAAACTAACATTTTATTTACTAGTGGTATTGAGCATTGTTTTTTATTCTGCTGCTTGGCTGCCGCGTAATAGTGATGGGTTGTTATTTAACTATCTGTTATTTTATAACAATTATTTAGAAATAACATAACGCAACTGTTAATACTTTTAAAAAATAACAGATATAAAATAACGACACGCAGAGATCGAGTGTTCGTGAAACGAAGTCGGCGCTCTGCACCGCCACGAAATTCGATGCTGCTCGAAGCAATTCCAAAAAACAACTAGTATGGATGGAAAACCTATTATTTCGACAACCATCGATACAGGCGGCGAGATACAACGGACAACGGAGTGGGGTATGCGCTACGGTGCGGCGCGTCGTGTTGGGCTGACAACAGCTTAAAAATAATAGGATATAAAAGAAGCAGCTTTTTTGAAACAGTTGCGGGCATAACGCCTGGCGGTCGAGATAACAGGAGTGGGAAAGGAGCGCTGCTGCATCGGTCGATTGTCGATGGAGGCTCGCAACGGGTTGGAGAATAACGCATCAGTTGTTTTAGCTATGTTGTTTTTTTACCTGTTACGAGCATAACAGAACGGCGTTCGAGATAATCGGAGGTTTGAAACAGGTTGGAGAATAACGCATCAGTTGTTTTAGATACATATTGTTTTTCATCCTGTTACGAGCATAACGGGCGGAGGTCGAGATATGGCGCTGTATGTTTCAGTACTTTGTTATTAAGTTTCAATATTTAAGTATTTATTTATTCTGAAAAATTTTCAGAATAATATTTTAAGATTTTTTAAAAATGTATACAGGGTGTTTTGAAAAATCTGGTCATTGATTAATCACGATCCTGCTTAAAGCCCTTGACGTAAAAAGCTGATTTTTGGGAAACGGATTGACTTTAGGGTGTAGAGGTGCGATAAGAAGGGATTTTTCGAAACTCAAATTCTAAGGGGGTGAAACCACTCTCAAATATTAGAATATTTTTTATTTAAAAACTGGTAAGTTTTTCGAAAAAAACTCTTAAACACGTATATTTTATTTTGTTGTTTTACATATTTTGAGATTTTTACAAAATATATACAGGGTGTTTCATAAAATATGACCACTGAGTAATGACTATTCTGCTTAAACTGCTTGACGTTTAAAGCTGATTTTTGGTAAACGGATTGACTGTGGGGTGTAGAGGTGCGATAAGGAGTGGTTTCTCGAATCTCAAATTCCAAGAGGGTGAAAACGCCCCTCAAATATTACAATATTTATTATTTAAAAAACGGTTAGTCTTTCGGGAAAACGATTGGACACGCATAATTTATTTTGTTTTTTTACATATTTTGAAATTTTTTAAAAAATAATACAGGGTGTTCCAAAAAGTTGAGTAATTGATTAACCACGATTCTGCTTAAACTGCTCGACGTTTAAAGCATATTTTTGGCAAATTTCTTGCTATGCTTTATCATCACCATTACAAATTAATAATTCGATGCGAACGAAGTCGCGGGTACAACTTAACAAGTATAGCTAGAGACGTGAGAAATATAAAATAAGAGACGCCCCCCGATGCGCAGTGGACATCCCACAAATTTGCTTCAATCAGATTTTTCGTAGCGTAACTGCATCTCTCTTCCGCCGAATGCGTCCTCTCTCTATCGTGTGCGCGACCGGTGCTATCACCAAGTCTCTTCCTATATTTGTCAAACTGTACATGCTAGTTTAAGTGTAAAATTAATTCAAACTCTAGTGTGTAGTTGGTTTACTTATGAAGAATATACTACACATTTTCTTATATTGCTATTTTTTGACCGCAAATGGTAAAATCACAACGAAGAGCTTCTCGCCCGTCGAGTGAGATGCACTCTGTACACTGCTACGCAATTCAGAATCTACGCGGATCGAGGGGTAGGGCGTAGGTAGATCGGAATTTATAGATATAGACGAGTGGCGGCATTTTGGCTTTTTTATATCGCAATTTGTAAACAGCGCTTATTTGTAAACAACCCCCGTTTTTAGAGAGGTATTTTAGATAAAAATCGATATTTAGAAATGTTATGACACCCTGGAAATACTACCACCGAGCACGTCATTGTTGCAACTGCGTTAATACGCCTGGCGGTGACCGCCTCATACTCTTTCAGATATTTAGCAATAAAATAAAGAAACCTGTTATTTTTAAGCTGTTATTTTAAGCTGTTTTTTATAAATAACTATAACAGTTTCAACTGTTATCTAAAAATAACAGTTTTGCCCATCACTACCGCGTAACAGTTTAAAAATAAATGCTGCTGTTAAATTTTTTTTATAAAAATACATAAAAATCTGACTTAAGCCTTTTATAAAAAGACTTAAATCTTTTTAATGGCTTAAGTTTTTTCTAAAAAGACTGAAATCTTTTTCTATTTCGGAATAAAGATTTAAATCACAAATCATTTTCAAAAATACTTAAATCTTAAGTCTTAAGTCAGCTTTCGAAAAATGACTTACCTAAGCCATTAAAATGATTTAAATCAAAAAATGACTTAAGTTTTCTGTGAGCTTGCAGCTCTGGCTCCATCCTTGATATTCGGCATGCTCTTCTGAGAAGTCCATCTCCACTGACTCGTCCATCCTTCTTTGTTTTGATGTAAATTGTCACCATTCGGCACCGTTTGTTAGAATTGACTGTAAATCCTTAGCTTTGTTTGGATGTATGTTTTATTTGACGACAGGAGAGGGGATTTTTAAAAGACCGATTACTTTCTTGCTTTGTTGAATATAATTTAACTGTCATAATTTATTCTTTTAACTATATTCATTGCAAATCTTCGAAATTAGGGAAAAATAAATTACAATTTGTTGTTCAAAGGAATTCCTATGAGAATTTTGTTTTCTAAATATACCACTACAGCTATATAGTAGTATTATTAATTGTACCTTATTGTAATAATATTGTAACTATGCGATATCTTTAATAGATACTTATTTGTATGAAATATATGCACGTAGAAAGATAATATACTTTTTAATTTTATCAATCATACACAATGCATTTTAAATCTTTATAGTTTACAAAAGTTTAACGTGAGTATAGCTAGTGTGTTATTTTATATGTAAATACTACCCTCGTTCTATGATTCTTTAAGTTCGATTATTTATTAGATTATAAACGACTTATAAGACTTATTTTTTTTATAGTTGAAGGTAAATATAAAAAATTCAGCCGCAATTCAGCAGTTAATAAAATATCAGAATTATTTTCAATTTAATAATTGATATTTTCCCCACTCGCTACCACTTAGATATGTATATAAACATCACAACACAAGCACGCCACATAAGCATATACAGGGTGACAATTTGAAAACGAACAGTATTTAATATTGCCTCTACCGATGATAGTATGAACATTTGGCGAAACACGTCAATTTCCATATCAAGGGGGACAATTTTTGAGGCATTTGTTGTCGTGTTACTTTCAACCCTTTGACCCCCAGGGCACCTACCCCTAAAATTTTAAATGGCAACCCCTATTTCTTTTACCATTTTTGTGTTCCTTATAAAATTCTTAAAAAAATAAGGCAGTTTATGTAGAATTCTATAAGAAACACAAAAATTGTAAAAGAAATAGGGGTTGCTATTTAAAATTTTAGGGGTATGAGCCCTGAGGGTCAAGGGGTTGAAAGTAACACGACAACAAATGCCTCAAAAATTGTCCCCCTTGATATGTAAATTGACGTATTTCGCCAAATTTTCATACTATCATCGGTAGAGGTAATATTAAATACTGTTCGTTTTCAAATTGTCACCCTGTATAAATACCTATACCTATTATCTTTTCTCTAATTATCTCAAAAAATAAATTCAGATCATTACTGTTGAAATTTTCTAAGCTGGTTAAATTTTCCATGTTAATAATATTAAGATGGATAAGTGATAACAGTGAAATGCAATAATAATTGGCAATGATAACAGACAACGTAATAATTGAAAATTATTGAAATTAATGGAAAACACATTCAATCATTTTATATAACATATAATATCAAATAATAATGTGTTATAATATAATAATTATATGATTACAGACATATCAATATAATCAATAATGTCAATAATTTAGCAATGAAAATAATTATATTTTAATATTTTTAGGAAAGTAAAATTAAGTCAGATGGATACCCTGTAGAAACACATCATGTTACCACTACAGATGGCTATATTTTAACATTGCACCGAATTCCCTATGGTAAAAGCAATCGAAACCTAGGTAAAGTGGCATATCTTCAACATGGAGTTCTTTCTTCTTCCGCTGACTGGACGGTTTTGGGAGATAGCAAAGCATTAGGTAACATAATACGTTCTTATTAACTTTTGCACGAAATAATAGTACCTAAGTACAAAATGACTGTTTGTTATTGCATTACTAATATACTGATTGTTTCAATTTGACATTACAAATAATACATTTTTTGCTTGGAAAACGATTTAATGCAAGAATTAAGACTTACTATCTCTGATAGGATTTATTTTATTTTTATTGGTTGATGTAAGTGTATAGATCAATTCTTAGAACTCGGACATTTTGTAAAACTGATAAAATAACTAAGTAGTAATATTAACATAACCATATAAAAAGATAAATTTATATTTAATTCTAAAGTAAAACACTTGATTATGGATGATATTATATAGACAAGGGTAAAACTAACGTGCTCATTGAATTTACATATATATATATATATATATATATATATATATATATATATATATATATATATATATATATATATATATATATATATATATATATATATATATATATATATATATATATATATATATATATATATATATATATATATATATATATATATATATAGTATTGAGAGCAGAATAAGGAACTTAAAAAAGCACAATGAATTAAAATAGAAACAAACCGCTTGTAACTAAAAAAACATGAAAAATTAATTTGATAAAGTACATAGACAAAACTAATTAACGGAAGTTTAAATAAATAACAAGTATATAAAAACCGAGAAAATGTTAAAAATTTGAAATACTGTAAATGTAAAGTTTTTAGTAGAACTTTAATTAGACGAAAATTTGAACACGTTTTAAAGGCAAATAAAATTCTATTTTACAAGTTCCATAAAAATATTCGATGTAATAAGAAAAGTCAAAGCAACAAATATACGATAAGAATAGAATCAGAGAAGGTGACATAATTGAAAAGTGGAAACAGTATGTTGAGAATTTTATTGAAAAACAAAATAACCAAGATAGAATGAGGAATTATCTAAAGCGGAAGATATAATAGAGTTAGATGATAGCAGTAGTGATGTAAAAAGATAAAAATCTACTAGACATATGAATATGGCTGCAAAACCTGGACTATGAGAAAATCAAACGAAGAAAATTTTAGAGCTTTAAAGAAAGATTCTCAGAAAAACCTCCGGTCCCCAACATTACCTCAATTCCTACCAATACAGCATCATACATTATGCCGAGATGAAGGCATTATTATAAGGTACCTGAGGAGGGAAACATCGTTCAAGAAATTAAGTCTTAAAGCCTGAGATTGTCGATCAAATACATAGAATTGACGATGAAAGACTGGTGAAACTTATATGGGAGGAGCTACTAGCAGGAAAGAGGCCACCAGGGCGGGATATCTTGGTAATGAACATACCAGTATCTCAGAATCTAATATATGTTTGAATGTTTGAAGCTGAGACATGGAGACTTATTGTACAGTCAGCCAAAAAAAAAACAGTAAATACACTCAGCAGCCCCCAGTTACAATTCCCTCTTTATTTCAATACTCTCCAATACTCATTTATTTCGTTGCATCGTTATGTTTTCGTTATCTGCCGACGACGGGACGTGGTCGGTTGGCTGTCAGCAATAGGCATGTTCAGTCCTCCGGTATACCGGTATCAGGACCGGTACTTTTCAAAATATTCTGATACCGGTATGACCTTTTACAAAATCGGTATATAGCGGTTTTGGTATCGGTACCGGAAAACCGTTATGGGAAGACCGGTTAAAATCGGTCCCTAAAGACCGGTGTCAATCTGTACAGAAGAATAGGTTCATGATGGTATGAAAATCAAAAAAAAATGTATAAAACAATTTCGGTACCGGTTTTGTGAAAAGCAGCTTGTGTTCCTAGCTCGGACCGCAGAATATGTTCAGGAGCCAAGTACTCGTAGTTTGTTTAGTTTTTTAATATATAGGTTTTTTTATAATAGTAACAAATATAACAAACTTAAAGTATATAAAAAATTAAAGTAGCTTTATCTTATTATATTATATTATCCTCATTATAGCTTAATTATTTTCTTCTCATAACAAAACTCTTATATACAAATACACAAATCATACAGGGAGGTACTGGGTGGTCGTATTAAAAAATCACGGCTTCTTGAAGGCTATGAGGACAATTAATTAAAATGGCAATTGACTGATACATATCATATCGTATATCGTTATATGCTCACTGACACAACAACCAAAACTATTATTTCGGTCTTTCCGATATTCCGGTTCAGTATTCGGTTCAATATCGGTCCTACCGATCTAATTGTTGGAACCGGTATTTCGTGGTACCGGATACCGGTACTGAAATCTTAGGATCGAACAATCAGGAGGAAAATCTTAGCACCCTAGTCAGCAATACAGTTCCGCGGATAGGTGTCGATATTTACTAAGATCTACATCCATCAGTACCGGCACCGGAGAGAGATACGTGGATTCAAATCTATTCGGACCTATTCATTTCTACCGCCCAATGGCGGTCTTTTTTCGACAATTGTCTATGCCGCTAGCGATAATTTTAGCCAGTTCGAACAAATTAACTAGCCTACCCACAAAGAATGCTTACTTAATGTTGCAAGTGAAATAAATGATGCCGCCACATAAGTCTGGATATTATTGTAATGATGGAATAACTGTTCTTTTTGCGTTATTAATGGGAGGCTCTGTAGAAATAAAACAATTAAAATTCTGAGAATTATTTTTAAATTGAAAAATACTTCCACATTCAAAATAAATTCAGATAGCTGGAAATATTTGTCAATCATTGAAAAATTAAAAACAACTATTGAAAAACGCGTGGTGGAAGAACAAATGAAAACAAGTGTTTTTGAAGATGAGCCGATAAGAAAATTATTTTAATTCGATCCACTTAATGCACAGGCGCCTATTTCATGTCTACAATTTTTAAATGAATGCGAATATGAAACGTCAAAAAAGAGGAATAGGAAAAAAATCAATTTATAAGATATTTTTTAAATTATTATTAATAATAGATAAGAGATACATATATAGAGTATGTGCTTTTTGATAAAACTATTTTTGGAGACCTTCAACTTCCGGTTTTGTGTTAAATTTGAATATGATTATCGAAAACAATTCTATCTCAGTTTGATCCAGTATGAAATACGAACATCGTTATATTTTTTTGTTTACTGTGACTAGGAAAAACTTCAAGATTCATGATCGTACAGTCGTGCGTCCGTAGATTAAGATTTAAACTTCTCGTTATTATTTGAATTCAGAAATATCCGATTAAAACTCAAGTGGCATCTGTATTTGTTATTTGTTTTATTCATATTTTTAAAAAGTACAGGTGATATAGCATTGTTAATATAATTAAATCAATTTAATGCCAATAAAAAATCTTTGTGTAGGCGGTACCGAATTATATTCGATATAAATTTATTAATTGTTTTTCTCGAAAGATGTTGATGAAAAGAAACATTGTTTCTATTAATTATTGGTATTCAACTAACAGGCAGAAAACTCAACTGAAAATTTCGGATGTCAGAGTCATGCGTGGCCCAGAATGTGGTACTGATCATTTCTTGGTAGTAGCAAAATCTTCTTTTCTCTACAAACAAAAAATGCAATCAAATGGATTGCCTGAGAAAAATGGAACTCCATTAAGTAATGTCAAGTATAATATCGAAAGTTTGAGGAATGACTCAACTAAATTCTTGTACGAGATGAGACTAGCCACGAAATTAAACAGAATAGGACAAGGCTCTCCAAATGATATGTACGAAAGTCTGAAAACGTGCATACATGAAGCCACAAATGAGGCTCTTGGAGAGAAAATAGTCTCCACGAGATACAGAAAAGATACACCTTGGTGGAGTGAAGAACTAGGAAAGATTGTAGATGAAAAGAAGGCTGCTTATGGGAAATGGTTAAGTACACAGAGCACTCAAGACAGACTAATTTATAATGACAAGAAGAGAAGTGTACAGAAGGAAATAATAAAAGCAAAGAATGAGTACTGGGAAGAAAGATGCCAAGAAGTCAACGTAGAAGCTGGAAACACAAAAGCAAATAAAGCATGGAAAATTATCAACGGAATGCGAAGGCAACATAAAGATACTGCAGGGATGAATATTATTCCGATCGAGGATTGGAAGACTTATTATCAAAATCTTCTGACGGAAAATAGAACCGAATTCATACAAGATCATGAAAGTCATCCTGTTAATCCAACCGAATCTGAGCATCCAACACGAATAAGCTCTACAGATATAAATAAAGCCCTCCAACAAATGAAAAATGGCAAAGCCCCAGGTTTGGGAAATGTTTCAGTAGAACTTTTAAAGGCTGCCCCCTCAGAAGTTTTAGAAATTCTAGCAGATATTTTTAGTAGATGTTTAAATGGAGAAGACCCGCCCAAGGAATGGAAAAAAGCGATTATTACGTCCATATTTATAAGAAAGGGAGCCGACGCGACTGTGAAAACTATAGAGGAATTAGTGGCATTTGTACTGTTGCTCGACTCTATGGCAAAGTACTAAAACATAAGATAGAAGCACAAATAACGGAATCGGAAGAGCAAAATGGTTTTAGACCGGGACGCTCATGTACTGATGGCATTTTCACTCTTAAACATCTAATCGAAAAAAGGCTAGAAAGGGGGTCCACTTGACATTTATTGATCTACAGAAGACTTACGATACAGTCCCACTAAGTAAGTTGTGGGTGTCAATGCAAAATTTTGGTATCAGTAGTTATATTAGTAGTGTTCCAAGCAACAAGAAAATTATATGAGGATTGCAGTAGCACAGTTAAGCTTGGAAACAATATTTCCCAAGAATTTCTTGTGAATAAGAGCTTAAGACAAGGGTGTTCATTAGCACCAACTTTATTTAAAGTATATTTGGAGGAAGTACTAAAGTGTTGGAAGATGAAATGCCGTGGAATGGGAATCCCAGTAGGAAAAGACACTTTATATACCTTACTCTTTGCCGATGACCAGGTCTTAATAGCGGGAGACAGAGACGACTCCAGTTATATATTTAGAAAACTGTATGAGGAATATTCGAAATGGGGCCTAACAATAAACACAAAGAAGACGGAGTACATGGTAGTGGGTGATGACGAACGTGAGGATTTGGATATAGGAATCGGTACAATTAGAAATGTCTGTACATTTAAATACTTGGGCGTCACTTTTACAACAAATTGAAAAAGCACTCAAGATATTGCAAATAAAGTTGGTCAAGGAAAAAGAGTTATCGGTCAACTTAACTCATTGTGGAGTGACAAAATTTCCCAAAAAATAAAAATTCTACTTTATAAAGCCATTGTAGAGAGCATTACCACGTATGGCGCTGAAACGTGGGAGCTAAACAAAGTAGAGAAAAATAAGTTGCTGTCTCTTGAAATGGATTTTTGGCGAAGAAGTTGTCGCATTTCAAGACTACAACACATCTCAAATCAAAGAATACGAGAAATTATAGGAGAAAAAGAAACTATTCTCGACGCCATTGACGGCAAAATACTAAGTTGGTACGGACACCTCCAACGAATGGATGATAACCGATGGCTAAAAAGAATTCATTCATGGACACCAAGCGAAAGGCGGAAACGTGAAAGACCACCTCGAAGATGCAAGCAGGGCGTAGTTGAAGCTATGAATTCTAGGGGCCTTCAGGAAGAAGACTGGACAGACAGAAATCTGTGGAAGTTGAGAAACGGGAGACGACGAATGTCGTAAAAATCCGCAATATTCAACAAACAAAAAATACAGAGTCCGGCAATAGTTCGTCGGGCATTTGTAGCTCCTATAATAAAAATTTAGTCTTAAAATTTGTTTAAGTGCTAACCTAAAGTATGTACCTATTACGATATATTTCGGGAAAATATTTTAACCTCTACAGGGTGGCTCAAAAAAGTGTGAGTGGATCGGGATGATTTTTTTTTAATTTTTGGCTTTCTTTTTGATCATTTTAATCCTAAGATATTAAAAGGATATTATTCAATATGGATTATGATAGTTTCAAAGATATTAATAAATAAGTAAAAATATATTTTTTTCAGCCTTATTTAAAAAAATTATCAGAAATACAAGAAACGTCCTGAAATCAAAACTATATTAGATATTTACTGCAGTAGGTCTGTACTTAACTTTGTTACAGATATCGTAATCTTTAACCATACAGGGTGTTCAAAATTGTATGCCAAACTTTTTAAATTATAAAATACATTTTCTTCGTTTCGAAAGGTGTTTGACACATCGTGTGGGACCGGCTTAATATAATACCACGCATATCCACAAAACAATTAAAAAATCTGAAATACTTTAAATACAAAAAGTGTTCATTCTTTAATTCTCTAACAAAGAAATAACATACAAGGTGTTCAATTAAAAAAAAAACGAAGAAAAACTATTTTATATTCTAGAAAGTTTGACATAGAATTTTGAACACCCTTTATGGTTTAAGATTACGATATTTGTAGCGAAGTAAGTACTAAGTACAGACCCGCTACAGTAAATACCTAATATAGTTTTGGTTTCACGACATTTCTTGTATTTTTAATAATTTTTTAAAAAAGGGTGAAAAAATAGTATATTGTTTTATTAGGAGCAAAAATGAGAATTTTGGTGGCGAGGCTGTACGTTTGACTTACTCCAAATAGAACATGCTCTTTGTTTTTCAAACAACACAAATAATTTTTTAAACAATTTCAAACGTACCAAAGATTCTGTGAAACATATCTATTATTTGCTATCTGTATTTGTTAGTTCTTTAGTAAAAAAATCTTGTTTTCTTATTCAGTTTTTTAAAAGAAACATACATCTATTGCCCTAATATTACGAAAATATATTTTCTCAATAAATTTTTTACCTTCATTTATGTCACAGCTGTGTGTCCTTCTTTGGTACTTATACTTACTCTTTGGTACAAAATGCTTCTTTACGGCTATTTATCTGTCCCAAAGTTACCCAGATAGACGGGGTTATTTTGGGACAACTTTAAAGTGCAATAACTAAAGTACTGCTTAGAATTTTGATTTCATATTTTGGCTATTTTTTGTGTTATAATAAAGATGTTAAATGACACTGCTTAAATGACACTTCATATAACAAGGACTATATCAACGAAAACCCCTAAAAATCGTACCAAAGTTACCTAGGTTAGGTAACAGTTTTACGCCACCTATTTTCTAATAATGAAGTACAAGCTGTAATGAAGTAAATAAACCTAAAGATATATAATACTTATTTATTTCTGATTCCTATATTTTCTTATATATTTATTATATATTTTAGCTTATATGCTGGCTGATGAAGGCTACGATGTATGGATGGGAAATGCTAGAGGTAACTCGCAATCCAGATCCCATATAACATATGACCCAGATAAAAACACGGAATTCTGGCAGTTCTCCTGGCATCAGATTGGTGAGATTGATCTTCCCCAAATGATCGACTACGTCTTGAATGTTACAGGAGCTGACGGGGTTAGTTTTTTTTTAATATAATAGGCAAAATTTGACAAAGTAATGCTTAAGCTGCGCACAGATCTAGCGCGAGACTTGGACGAGGGAGCGACTAACGCGAGACCACTGTGAAACCAGCGCGAGACTGCTTCAATCCATTTTTTGTAGTGATGGGAATAATCGAATTATTTTCACCATCGAATAATTAGTAATAATTCATATTTCACAATCGAATTAATAATTCGAATTATTTAGTAGAATTATAAATTTAACCTAAAAATAAATTCGTCCCAGCTAGTGCTCGTCTAGGGGCTATTTTAAACAAATCTGAACCATTCCATTGCCAAATTGCCATACCTATATTCTATCATTGAATAAAGAATAAAAAAAAAATTCTTTATTTAATGTATTCTATCAACTGTGTAGAAGCCGTTTAATAAACTAACCTAACCATAATTTATAGTTTTAAATTTAAAAGTGCCGAGTTTATGATTGTTATTGTTATGGCCTTTTATAAACATTTCAATTCCTATTGAAAACCTCCTCTTTAAAATAAAAGCTTTTTCTAAAACGATATAAGTATGTCCTTGTTTACGTGTGGTTCATATTTCTTTTTATTTTATTAGTGGCAATCAATAATTATTTAGATAAAAGAAGAAAATTAATTTTAGTGTTCGGCAGGTGTTCGGTGAAATTTGGGTGAGATGGAAATGAACCAAATAATAGTAGTATTCTTTCGTTCTGAACGAAATGAACATTTTCTTAAACTGATTTATTCCTACGTGGTATAGGAAATAACAATGATTTCTGGATTTTTCTATATCGGATCGTTCCTTTCTTTTTCGATTCCCTTTATAAATCATGTTAAGTGAAAATTTTCAGTTGGTTCAGAATGAAAGAATACTACTAATTGCAAATATTCGTCCATAAGAGGTTATATTTTATCTTCATTTGTAATTCGGTTACCACAGATATAATATAAAATACTACTAATTTTTATCTCGATTATATCGAAAAAGATAATCGAATTAGTTAGTTTTAATTTACTATCGAATTAGTCGAATTATTTAATTCGAATTTTCCCAACACTAATTTTTTGAGACACACCTGTGCATGATATACCGTAGTTTAGCGAGATTTCTACGAGTCCGTCCATACTGCGCCTGCACCGCGAGCTTTTTTTTGATCAGCCGTCGAAAAACCGACAGAAGGCGGATAGCAGCGAGACTCCGTAAGGTGGCTAGCGAGATCCGTCCACACTCAAAGCTGCAAGCTCACACAAAACTTAAGAGTCTATTGCGATTACACTGTACTTTCCGATCACCATCAGGGGTCGGGTACAGAGGATGTGTGGCCGAAGAAAATATATATTATATTTCACAAATCTGTCGTGTTAAGCCACACCCAAAATTTCAAATACACGTGCTTTGATTAAGGGTTGATTAAGGTTTGCAGAGCTTCAGCATCTGCCATAAAATAACAGGCAATTTGTTACAAAACCATATAAATTGAGAAAATTTAGTCCAAACAGAGGGAATATTTTGTTGATGTTTGACCATCAAAAATGTGGAATATATGTAGAAAGAGCATTCACTGAGTTAATCTCCGACAGTCCCATTGGTTTGAAAATAAATGGCATTCCAATTAATAATATCCGATATGCGGATGACACAGTGGTATTGGCAGACAATGCAAATGATCTCCAAATCCTTCTAAATAACGTTAACAATGAAAGCCAAAGACTGGGTTTAAACATAAATACTAGAAAAACTAAATTTATGGTTGTTAGCAGAAACAACATTCCAAACACCAGAATTTACTGAAATGGAGAGTTCATCAAGCAGGTCACAAAATTTAAATATTTGGGATGCATGGTTAACGGAACGTGGTATCCAGATCAGGAGATCAAATGCAGGATCAAACAAGCCAGATCTACTTTTCTGAAACTTTGAAGGTTTCTCACAGATAGGAACTTGAACTTCGAACTGAGATACAGAATGGTGAAGTGCTATATCTGGTCCGTTTTGTTATATGGTGTGGAAGCTGGACTGAAGGTAGCAACAATAAACCGAATTGAAGCCTTCGAAATGTGGACCCTACGACGAATGCTAAGAGTACCCTGGGTCGACCGTACTAGGAATGAAAACATTCTCAGAGAAGCTCGTCTAGAAGAACGTGGACTCTTTGAAATCATCAAAAAGAAGAAAATAGCCTATTTGGGATACATACTACGTGGTGAACGCTATCACTTTCAGCGTCTGATTCTCCAGGGTAAAATAGAGGGGGGCAAAGGGGGAATAGGGTAAATCCTAGGAATAGAGAATAGGGTAAATATCCTGGCTAAGAAATATTCGTCGTTGAACAGGCATACAGGACTTCCAAGCACTCCAAGTCGCTGCAATTAATAGAACCATCTGATGAGAAAGAAAAAGATGAACGCTTACGCAGGATTCTGCACGGCATCTTAAGAAGAAGGAGAAGACCATCAAAATCTTAAAAATAAAGAAGTTGTAAAATGTGCTACAATATGGATATAGTATAATCCTTTATCTTTAATTTCCTTCTTCATTTGTGTAAAAATTCCTAGCCAGTTTTACATAAAACGTTAAATGCCGAACGTTTATTTTGCTACTTTTTTGGACTAGTGAAATGGACTCTTAAATCTTTTTTTTTCATTTAAATTATTTTAATGACTAAAGTCATTAAATTTTTGACTGTCTTGACATCTTAACTTGACGGAATTATTTTTATTTAAGAGTCCATTTCACTAGTTTGAAAAAGTAGCAAAATAAGCGTTCGACATTTAACGTTTTATGTAAAACTGGCTAGGTATTTTTACACAAATGAAGAAGAACATTAAAGATAAAGGATTATACTATATCCGTAGTGTAGCACATTTTTAGACAACTTTATTTTTAAGATTTTAATGGTCAAACGTCAACAAAATATTGCTTATGTTTGACTAAATTTTCTCGAAAATAAAGACATAATTTAAAATTCCGTTTCAATACGGAAATAGACTGAAGTTTTGTGATTACATTGATATATAATTTATATGGCTTTGTAACAAATTGCTCGCTATTTTAAATGCTGAAGTTCTGCAAACCTTAATCAAACCTTAATCAAAGCACGTGTGTTTGGAATTTTGGGTGTGACAGGATCACAGGGCACGACAGGATCGGGCTAAGCCTTTAACTGCACCTTTAACAGTCTAAACACATTTTATCTAAAATGTTGCCATTACACAACTGTAAATTTTAAAATCAAATTACATTCATTAATTAAACATGTTAGGATTGATCGAATAATAATATTCAATCGCAGTTAAAAACAATGATAATGTTTTTTGACTGTCATAGATTAATTACTTTGTTTAATATTTTACCATTTTTAATACTAAGTCACCACTTAATATTTAAAAATTAAATAAATATTTCTTTATTTAAAACGATTTTTATCGCTTGATTGAAGATTTTTATTAAGTGGCTCGTGCAGATTTCTCCCACTTCTTTCTCTGTCAATTGCAATTTATATTCGCAGAAAATCGTTATCGAAACAATTCGGAAGTCGTATTTATTTAAATAATACAGAGTAAACTAGATATCATAAGTGTTATTCGTTTATTTTATTAAATTATTTTCCTTACTTTGCAACATACAATAATTTATTTAATAGGGTTTTACTTCTTTTAGCATTTGTATAATGTGGTAATTCTTCTGTGTAACTACTATGTTAAAACAAGCTGTTTTCTTAAAACGCTAGATGCAAAATAAGAATAAAAATAAATTTTTGTTTTTTTGTTTGCTATGCAGCAAGCGACCAAGCTGCTGTTGCTTATAAATATTGTTCAGCTACCCCAACAAAAACAATATACAGGTTGTTTTAAAAAATATATACCATCTCTCATGGGGAGTCCTCACGTAAAAATAAGATTTTTTGTAAACTTATTTTGTCCAAATGATGCCAGAATAGCTCGCAAATGGCAGAATTTTTCCCTACTTACTTGACATTTATTGTTATATTTTGGAAAATTCACATAATAAGTATCTTTATAGATTTTAGCATATGTATTATTCTGATGAATAAACTATGTTATTGTAAAGTTTCATTAAAATCCATTCAGTATTCGTGAAAGAGTAACAAACATCTATACTTACATACAAACTGTAGCGTTGATAATATTAGCAAGGAAAAGAAATATCTTATTTTTACATGAGGAATATCTCCACGAAAGATGGCATATGTTGTTTGAAACGCCCTGTATTTATTTGATATTGTTTTATAATTATTAGTAGTACATTATTGATTATTATGTTAGTATTTAGTATTGCAGAAACCACGATGAAAGTATATTTCAAATCTAAAAACAAAAGCTACAAAAATACAGATAATATATCCACGTAGTGCATGAAGTATAAATACAATATCTTTGATGTATATAATACGATTTCAGGTGTATTATGCTGGACATTCCCAAGGAACTACTGCATTTTATGTAATGACTTCAAGTCGGCCTGAATATAATGACAAAATCAAAGTACAAGTTAGTTTGGCTCCCATCGGTTTTATGAATCACATGACTAGTCCCTTAATGAAAATCATGGCCTTCTGGGATTCCGAACTAGAGGTATGTAATAATCAGATTTAGTACCTATATGGTTAGACACTGAAATATAAAAGAATACTTACTCATAATTTTTTTGGATATACATAAATTTTTTATTTTTTATTTTAACTAAGTACAACTTATCGGATTAATGAACAACAGATTTTTAAAATGATTGAATTGCTAAATATTAGCATATAAATAACTTAGCTGACCAAGGGTGGTGATGGGTATTTTTGAACAATAAGAATAATGAAAAACACTGAAGGGATTCTACAGGATAAGATACATTACAATATTTCATGACCTTTTTTACGTTTTAGCTCTTGTTGAATATTATTGGAATGAACGAATTCCTTCCTAATAATGATTTTATGAAAAATGTCATGTCAGATGTCATATGCAGTGAAAACTCAATAACTCAATTGCTTTGCACTAACACACTGTTTGCTATCTGTGGCTTCAGTTATTCAGAAATGAACACTACTCTATTGCCACTAATGATGAAATATACACCAGCAGGAGCATCGACAAAGCAGCTTTTGCATTATGCCCAAGAGGTTAATTCAGGTATGTTTTATTTTGATAATTATTTCGGATGTTTTCATCTAATAATTTGTCTAATCTAAAATTGGTGTTACGTGTCTACAGACATATATAGGGTGAGACTTAAATAAGTGCGAATATTTTCAGGGTTGGTAGTTCGCGATAAAAGAAACATTACTCAATACAGGGTGTTTCAAAACAAATGCGAAAAACTTCAGGGGGTGATTCCTTGTTCAAAATAAAGGGTAGTTTGCTTCATAAACGTTGGGTCAAAAGTCAACCATTAGGGAGATATTGCGGTACAAAGATGGCGGAAAAATAATGTTTTTATTTTTTATCTTGAAAACGAAAAGAGATAGACTAATAAAATTTTATGGAAGCATTACTGTTATGAAAACACACTTTTTGGTAATTTTTTCACTTTTTTAAAATGAGTGGAAGGGGTTGAAATAAACTACCCTATCATTCTTGTTAACGAAATTTAAAGAAAAATCTTATCAAATACATGCAAAAAAATTAATTTGGATAGTTTAGTTTGTTTAGAAACTTTTTTATCTCTTGTATTTTTTTGATAAAACTCACAGATTTGAAATTAAAAAATAAAATGTAAAGCATTACATGTCAGGACAAAAAAACATTTTCTGATAAAAAATCTAGTGGGCTGCTGTAATTTATTTAGGAAAAAATCTAGTCGGCCGCTGTTACTTTTTAGGATGTTCCTAATATTATTTTATTTGACATTACTCTACTGCAATACGTTATTATCTAGATGATTATTATTATCGTTATTATCACTAGATTCTTAACTAAAAATGTTTTTTGTCCTGACATGTAATGCTTTACATTTTATTTTTTAATTTCCAATCGGTGAGTTTTATCAAAAAAAACACAAGAGGTAAAAAGTTTCTAAACAAACTAAACTATCCAAATTAAAGCATTTGCATGTGTTTGATAAGATTTTTCTTTAAATTTCGTTAACAAGAATGATAGGGTAGTTTATTTCAACCCCTTCCACTCATTTAAAAAAAAAAAATTACCTGAAAGTGCGTTTTCATAACAGTAATGCTTCCATAAAATTTCATTAGTCTATCACTTTTCGTTTTCAAGATAAAAAATAAAAACATTATTTTTCTGCCATCTTTGTACCGCGATATCTCCCTAATGGTTGACTTTTGACCCAACGTTTATAAAGCAAACTACCCTTTATTTTGAACAAGGAATCACCCCCTAAAGTTTTTCGCTTTTGTTTTGAAACACCCTGTATATAAAACATTCTCTTTACCGTTTTCAAATAAGTCCAAAATAATCGGGTTATTTTACTTTGAAAATTAAAAAAAATATATTTTGCTTAAATTTTGAGAACCACTGGATCTTTTCAGGGTTTTCTTTCTTGTAAATTTAATCTACTATCTATGTTGCCATATTATCAAGAAATCATGTTTTTAACTAAAAACTAACTTTTACCACTATTTTCCGTTGAATTTCACTGATATGCATGAGGGAGTTCCAAACCTAACTTTTTTAAAAAAATATTTTTCTGTATACCGGTTGGTCCATGAGTGCGAGGAAGATAGTAATCGTTGTTTTTAACAAAAAATATGAATAATAATTTTATATTGTTCCATAATTCCTAAAGACGCATATCCTAAAAATAGTATGTTTCATACAGGGTGTCCCAAAAAAAGTAATGATAAAATAAGTTCTTTAATTGTAAGCCCCATTTTTCTCTACACAGTTATTGGGTTCAGCATATGGTATATTATTTTTATTTGAAGGACTATACTATACAGTTCTGTTATTTCTTAGCTATATTTCCTTAAACGTCAAAGATAACAGAATAAATCTGTTAAGGAAAGCGAATATGTGATTTTCTTACACAGGGTTTTTCATTTTGGGCGGTCAACATCGTAATATTTAAAATATTATATATATATATATATCTCATTTTTTTTAATACAACACCATGTATATTATTTTTCCCTTATTTATTTGTATTTAGTTTTCCTAAATTTAGTAGATATTCACGTTACTGTTTTACAAAAGGCTCTTTAACCGTAAATGTTTCCCAATGCCACTTCGTGATTTTTTGTCTCATTATTTCTACTGTAATACCACAGTTTAAAGAATACATACATATTACAATACAAATATTACAAGAATACATATATTTATATTCTTTAAACTGTGGTAATACACTACACATATGCATATGCAAACTTTTAAACCGGCTGGCAACCATTTATAACTGCAGAACGGCTGGACCAATATTGATGATCTGTGTTTTGTTGGATTCGTCCCCACCCCGAATAGCAGAATAACTATTTACATATCAAAAAACTTAACAAAAAAAAAACGTTTTTTTTTTAAATTTGGAATTTTTTGAAAAAAATTTTGTTACTTTTTTAGTTTTTTGTTAAAAACAGAATATCTTACAGTAGATTAAATTTACAAGAATGAAACCTAGAAAAGAACCAGTTTTGTTTTGTTTTTAATTTCAATGTAAGCATTCAGAATGTTAAAATTAGTGGTAGATATTTTCAATTAGTAGAAAAAGTTATCAAACTTCTAACTTTTCTTCTAATTATACTTCAAAATTTGCTAGAAATGACATTTTGGACATATTTTGGCCTTTGATTATCTTCCGTCAAGAGAAATTGTGGTTATAAATCAAAAGTTGGTTGTTTTATAAGCTAAATATTAGGCTTTATCTATATGGATACAACTGACTAACACAAGCTGTTGCTAGGATATTCTATTAATTTTAATGGTATTTTTTAAATATTGTGAATGATCTAAGTAAACTAAAAAGTATAAAGTGTAATTGAAACCACTAATTGCGAGGTTCTGAATGAAGCTTAATTGAAAATGACTACCACTAATGTAGATGTTCTCTATGCTTACATTTAGAATTTTAAAATTCTAAATTCTAAAATTCTATGCTTACATTGCCATTAGGGGTTACGTTAGTAAAAACTACTAATTTATTCCACTAACTTCGAGGTTCTGATTGAGGCTTTAAGTTTTAATGAAATAATAGGTATATTATATTTATATGCTATTTTAATAATTTTAACATGCATTGTTTAAGTTTATTGTCAATTGTAGCTGTGTTAATAATTTCGGTTATTTATTTCCAGGTCAATTTCGTCAGTATGACTTTGGACTTCTGTCTAATATGAACAAATATGGTTCACTCTTCCCTCCACAATACGACTTGTCAAAAATAACAGCTCCAGTTTACTTAATTTACAGCCAAAACGACTGGCTTTCTGCTGAAAAGGATGTTGACAAACTCTGTAACGACATTGGCGCTGGTTGCAAAGGAATGATCCTTATGAGCGACTTCCAGTTCAATCATCTTGATTATATGTTTGGTATTCGTGCTCCTACTTTGGTATATAATAAAGTAATTAGTTTGTTTGCTAGACATTGACGAAATCCATCAACTAATAGGAAATGTATTTATTTATTCATTATTATAAATTATCCGTACTATCATAATAAGACAGTTTTGTTCATAAATTTTTGTTTTATTTTTTCTTATATTATATATAATATTAATAAATAATAATATATATATTTAATAATATATAATATTGTTATATATTTTTATTGGCAAACACAATCAGAGCTGCAAGATCACAGAAAACTTAAGGTCTTTTTTGATTTAAATTATTGTAATGGCTTAAGTCTGATTTTTATATATTTTTATGATAAATTTCTTATGTAGCCCGAAAGACGACCGAAAGAAATTTATCTCGAATATATTGTACCTTAAAATAAAATCATCCAGCTCTTAGCTTATGCCATCGATATGTCGCAGGCGTGTCGAATAACTCGGCATTTTGCAGAAAGACTAGGCATATTATAAAACGCCATCGTTTTTAACAAAAGAAGGATTTTTTTACAAAGAGCCTTAAAGTGCCAATATGTTTTCAGTCGCTTTGCCAAATGCCTAATAAAGTCTAGTCAGATTGCACAAAACATTTTACGCGGGATTGATATAACTAACCTAAATTTATCCAACATTTTTTGAACTTCTCTTTCAAAATTTGGAAATAATGGCACAAAAAGTAATAATTCTGGTAAATAAAGTATGGTTAAGGATGATTATTATTACCCCAGTCAAAATAAACAAAAAAAGGGGGTTAAATAACAATAATTCGCATAGAGCTGAAAATTGGTGCAGGTCTTAAATACACTATTATAAATGATATCTGAAAAGTCCCCACCGCTATCACGTCTGCGAAAAAAATATTTTAGGTCAAAGGTTAAATATATGTTTTTTGTGTTTTTTCTCCTAAACGGAAAGCGCTGTCGCAAAAGTACCTTAAACAAATGTTGTAGACAGACCAAACCAAACCAAACCAAACTCCAATTGATAAGATTATTTACTTTTTGAAACCTGGGAAAGCTCCAGTACAAACTAAAATATATTCCTCGGAAAGCTTATCTACATTTCCACAATGTTAATCTCATGTCTTACTTCTACACGCAATACCTGGCTGCGACACTACTTCTGCATTGTTTAAAAGGGGCAAAAAGCAGTATTTAAAATGTTTGAAACACGTAATGATTTAATTGATTGCGCAGACGTATCCAAAATGATTGACTCTTCTCCACAAGTCATTATCACAAGTGGAATTCGCTTGCTTCTTGCTATATACGGTGCTAAAAACATCTGCTTCTGCCTGTCAACACTTATATCGTGTATGCTATCAAGTTCTATAGACAAATATAGATATTTAAGTTTTGTTAAAAATACTCGGAACAATAAAATGGTACAACTTTCTTGTATTCCTCCAACATCTGCTTCTGCCTGTCAACACTTATATCGTGTATACTATCAAATTCAATATTGACTTAATTACAGATGAGGATTTTGATGAGGAGACAACTGATGCATCTGTCATAGATGGATTTCCAGATATTCCGCAAGAAGATGAAAAAGAAGAAAGCGAAGAAGACATTACTGTTGAAGTATCATTTGAGGATTACCACTCAGATTAAAATTCTCCCAAAATCAACAATAATCCGTTCGACTATAATCATTACCAAGAGCACCGTTTTTTAAAATTAATAGTATAATGTGTAATAAAACTTAACCACAATAGATCGTGGACTAGGCCTACAGGGGAAACCATGTTAAAAAAACGCACAAGTACACTACCTCACAGGTGGTGCGGAAATGTGTGCATATTATGAAAAATACGAGTTTTTTAACTTTTGAAATCGCCATATCTCAGGAATGGTGGTTCGTAAGAAAAAAGTATAAGAACCATTATTGTTTTACAAAATATTGTTTATTTACAAAATTTAATGGTCTACAACATTTGTTTAAGGTACTTTTGCGATAGCGCTTACCGCTAAGGAGAAAAGAGCAAAAAAACATATTTTTGACTTTTTACCTTGAATATTTTTTTTAGCAGACGTGGGATGGGTGGGGATTTTTCAGATATCATTTATAATAGTGTATTTAAGACCTGTATTTAAATTTTTCAGCTCTATGCGAATTATTGTTAATTGAAATGTCTATTTTGACTGGGGTAAATAAATATCTAAATTGATTTTATTCTAAAAGAAAGCAAAGTTGCACAAAGAAGCAGCCCTGTACATAGTGTACATACATAGAATCGAATTACGGAGTATAATAATTAGATGAGATATTTATCTGCCTGGTCTCGATTCTCGATTTAGCATTTTGTAAAATGACTTAAAATATGCAGTCTTTTTGCAGAAGTGTACAAAAAATACTATCATTGTTTAGTATGCCTAATTCTGATCAGGCTTTTTGAAAAGTTAATGAAAATAGATAGGCTTCTTGTAAGAATTCTTTCTTTTGTGTAAAAAGCCGGCGTTCTATAATATGCCTACTTTTTTTTCATAAAGCCGGATTATTCTATACGCCTGCGACATATACCTATATTATATAGAGATCAAAACACACATCACTACTTTTAAAGACTAAGTTTAAAGAAGACATGCATTCGATGACATATATCTGTAATGGATATACTCACATCATATATAAAGTACTATGAAATTGATTAATTTTATAAAAAAAACAACATATTTTTGTGTTTATAGTTGTTCTGAAATTAACCGTTTTATTTTTTTTTTAGCTTTAGTCTCATCTGTATCTACAATAAATTAATAATACTTAGTAAGAAAATCCGCCTAATTGGTAATACAAGAAAATTAATATTAACATTTAAAAAGGTACTTAACTGAATTCTAGTTGTCTTGACTTGAGGGTAATAAATCAAGCAGACAATATCATGCAACAAAAAGTTAGTTAATTTCCATTGAATTTCGGAATTCAGGTTGAGATCATATGCGTGGGTGTATAAAATGAAACAGCAGGTTAAACATTTTATTTCATAACTGTGTTGATTAATATATGACAAGAAGAAATCCAAAAGAAATTAAGAAAAGATAATTTTTTAAATATTATCACAAACATAGAAACTGGTGCAATGCAAACAACTGCAAGCCAGTTCTATTACAATTTTCTAGCAACATAAATATCAAGATACATAAAATCAAATTTGAAGTTCTCACATCATTATTGTTGTGTTCCTTTAAGTTAATCTCATTATTGTTATCATTAAAAAAGTAAAAGTAAAGATTTCAGTTAACGTGTCCTTTTTGCTGCCAGGGCTAATCTGGACGAGGCCTACTTTGTTTACGCGGAATCCGAACCGCGGTCCACGGCCATATCATGGTCAATACCAAGTCGGTACTTGGCATGTGTCTAAATCAACTCTTACTCACGAGATATCCGATCTCATCCGGCCTTGAACCGGCGTGAATGAGCAGTGTGTGTCAATAAATTTTACACTTTTGACTTTATTGGACAACAGCACGATACAGAGTTTCGAACCGGTCACCCGTCCATCCACTAGTATCGCCTTAAGTCGCTTAACTTCGGTGTTCTAATGGGAACTGGTGTTTCGACGTAGCTGGGCCGTTGCTTGTTATCATTAAAACTTCATTTTCCAATAAAATCTAAAGACTATTCGAAGTCTTATCAAGACTATTTCAGACAATAGACTACTCAATAGTTCAGAACCTTCAACGTTACTCTCTTTTGGTAGTTTCAGCAGTAAGTAAGTATTTATGAAACAGAACATCTAAATGAAAAGCCTCTAGTGAAAAATAAAGATACTCTAAGAGTATATTGAGGTATAGCAAATTGCATTTAATATTTAATCCAGAGCATCTCGGTGCAGTATTGCAGCCATTAATTATGTTCATACCCATAATGTCACATTGAACAATTAGAGCCCGGTGAGTATTCTCAGATAAAAAGAATTAATTATTGGCCTTAGCTTATCTTCCCCGGTCATGCAGATATAAGAAATCTTTAATGAAGTACAAAAAATATATTAAAAAAATAATACTAAATAAACAATAAATCAACTACTGTAACAACTTACCCCTCTCTAGATGCTGCTCTTTATGTTTTCTCTTTATGTTTTATGTCATAGTGTTCTTAGCTCATAATTTTGATGAGTGTTGACATACTATAAAATAAACCTGAAGTTTTTTTTGCAAGGAGAAAAATCTTCGAAAGACACCTGTGTGTGACACTCCGTTCTTAGGTTCAGGTAGTGTGGGATTTTTACCCACTAAAAAAACCACCTTGCGAAGACCAGCTGCTGATAGAAGAGTGATGGAACCACCTATTTGGTATTACTCAGCATTGTCCTTTTCCGTTACAGAATAACCCTCCTCTCTTCTGATTGTTGCAGATATTTTCTCTGCTCTTCTTTGGCCCTTGGAACCATGTCACATACGGCGCTCCAAACCACTTCAGATTCAAGCATAGGTGCGAGGGACAATGCTGGCCGTTGTCAGTCTCTCTCCCACCAAATGCTCAAGAGCCAATCGTTCGTCGCTCCACTGCGGACACACAAAAAAAGTGCGCTCTGCATCATCCACGTGGTCACAGTAGCAGCATCGTGGTGTGTTGGTTAATTTGAAACGATAGAAATATGCCTCAAAGCACCCATGTCCCGATAAAATTTGTGTGAGGAAGTAATTTACCTCGCTATGTGTTCTTTTGATCAAAGGTCTCACATCAAGTATCAAAAGCTTGGTCCATCGCCCCACATGCGTTTCCTATTCCCGACTCTCCTGCCATGTATAGGAATAAAAATATTATGAGTCAAGCATTGAAACGTAGCCTATGTGACAGTTTGGTTCTTAGCCATGCCAACTATGCTGACATTGTCTATGGACCTTGTCTTGACGTGCACTCCTCTTCCAGAATACAGAAGATTCAAAATTCATGTGTACGTTTTATTTCTTCTCTGGATAGAGGGGAGCATATCTCAACTTGGCTTAAAGAATTGAAGTGGCTTAATATGTATTGTGTATGTATGAACGCCGTAGACTGACTGCATTTGGCTACCTTTGTACACAAACTAATTAAATTACAAACACCATTATATTTAAAATCTAAATTAAAACTGCGCCAAACTGTTCATAGCAGAGACACTCGAAATATTAATCAGTTATATCTACCTCAATATAAGACCTCTATATAGCGACGATCATTTACGTATTCTGCGGTCTCGTTATATAATTCCCTGCCAAGTGCTTTAATAGCTAAGTCCCTCGGTTCATTTAGATCGGGGTTCAGAGATTTATTATTCCATACTGTGAGTTGAGTATACTTTTTGAAACCAGCCAACTATGCCTCTCCTTGGCTCTCTCTTCATCAACACCAATACATGCCTGTTTCCTTATGTTATTGCATAATGTACTTGTAAGTATTAACACAGATAACACATAATCCAGATGGCTCCTTACGTGTTAAAAATTGTCACCCTAATTTCACTCCAATTTGGAAAAATATTGGAGTGACGTTTGAATAATCTGAAATTTTTAGATTTCTTTTCTCACTTTTTTGGGAGGTTTTGCTTCTCTTGCACAGATGTCGCTTGCACTTCAGTTGCGTGGTTGCCAAACGTTATATCGAAATATATTTCATTTCATTATGAATATATAAAATTAAAGGTATACCAAATTAAAAATTATGTATATTATTAATATATAAATATTTAACTTAATACGTTCATTATTATTTTATTAATTTATCGTCACAGGTCATTTACCAGTTGCCTAATTACGAAAAGTTTCATATGACATTAACCTCAAAAATGATCTTTGAAAACAAACAACAACAAACAGAGCAACAATGAACAAATAACTACATAATGACTGATAATGATAAGTGATAATAATAACTTTAATTATATGAAGGCTGATGAAGGTAATTATAAACATTATTTTGAGATTGTTTAATAAAATATAGGATACAATATAACTAAGCAAAATCCAAAGAGGTTAGAAGAGAAAGAGGTAACAAATGCTCTATTTTATAATGCGCGAAGGCTGCCTGTTTTTCCGATCTGGGTTCCTTTGGTGGGGGTCACGCCAGGAGCGGATTTAGAAATTTTTAAGTGAATAATGATATACATCTAATATATAAAATTCTCGTGTCACAGTTTTTATTACCTTAATCCTTCAAAACGGCTTGACCGATTTTGATGAAATTTTATATGTATAATCAGTGGATATGAGACTAGGTTGTTATCGATTTTTTATACCCCTAAGTGATAAGGGTGACCCAAGAAAAAAAAAAATTTTTTTACTTTTTTGAAAAAAAAATTATTTTAATTTTTTTATGATTTGGCATTATAAAATACATACAACCCTAAATTTTCACCCTTCTACCACCAACACCTATTTTGTAATAGGGGTTGTTTTTTTTAATTTTTTTTATTACCTTACTCCTCCGAAACGGCTTGACCGGTTTTGATGAAATTTTATATGTATAATCAGTGGGTCTGAGACTAGGTTATCGATTTGGTGGCCCAAAAAAAAATATTTTTTTTTAATTTTTTGGAATTTTTTTTATTTCTATTTTTTTATGATTTGGCAATTAATACATTTGGCAATTAATACATTAATACAATTTGGCAAAAATACATACAACCCTAAATTTTCTTTTTCTACCATCAACCGCTCTTTTTTAATAGGGGATGTTTTTTTTAATTTTTTGTTACCTTACTCCTCCGAAACGGCCTGACTGGGCCTGACCGAGTTTGATGAAATTTTATATATATATATATATATATATATTCAGTAGGTCTGAGGGTAGGTTATTATCTATTTTTTATACCCCTAAGGCGCGGTATTTTCAGGTATAAATAAATAACTTTTATCTAACAAATAACAATCTTAAAGATAAAACAATTGGTAGAAGATACACGTTTTTACACGCTATCCGTCAAATAAAATATATAACACGCTATCTGTACCTGAAAATACCGGGGGTAAGTGATAAGGGTGATCCAAGTCCACCGGCCAAATCTTCTGGTGTATGGGTGGCTACTCGTTTTTTAGACCAATCTAATCTGACAGATCAAGTCTGCTCTGATTTGGCCTGTGACAGGCTTGGTCCGCCAATGGCTTGGCCTGCTACAGACTTGGTCCGGCACACAAACACAAAGTTCTTATCCGCAGACCAAGTCTGCAGGCCAAATCTTCTGGTGTAGGACGCTAATAAGCAAATTTAATTGTAGAATAGGACTGCAGAAAAACCACCTTATGATATTAAAAATTCTTTATTTAAAACTATTTAAATAAAAATAATTCTACAATGGGCTATAAAATATAAAATAACACAATATTAATCACAAAAATAGTATATTGTTTTATTAGGAATAAAAATGACACTTTTCGTGGCGAGGCTGTACGTTTACATACAGGCGAGGCACAAAAAGTAATTTTTACTCCGAATAGAACATGCTATTTTTTTCCAAACGCCACAAATAATTTTTTAAACAATTTCAAACGTTCCAAATGATATAAAAAGATTTAAAAGTAATACCTTGTATATAATTATATATCGAGAAACTATGGTTACCCTCCTTGAATTTGACACTTTATGTCAGTTTAATAATATATTTTCGCACTTGTATGCTTGGGCGTAAAAGTGTTTTACTTTTATATCTAGGCAGTAAAATTACTTTTTTACATTGTCAATCACGTCGCAAAAACTAATACTTTTGTGACGTGTGAAAAAAATAGTATATTGTTTTATTAGGAATAAAAATGACACTTTTTGTGGCGAGGCTGAACGTTTACATACAGGCGAGGCACAAAAAGTCATTTTTACTCTGAATAGAACATGCTATTTTAGAAACGCTACAGATAATTTTTAAACAATTTCAAACGTTCCAAATAATATAAAAAGATTTGATGTGTATAATTATATTGTAATACCTTGTATATAATTATATATCGAGAAACTATGGTTACGCTCGTTGAATTTGACACTTTATGTCAGTTTAATAATATATTTTCGCACTGCTTGGGCATAAAAGTGCTTTAATTTTATGCCTAGGCAGTAAAATTACTTTTTTATATTGTCAGTCACGTTGTAAAAACTAATACTTTTTTGACGTTTGAAAAAAAAAATATATTTTTACAGAATTACAAAATATTATTGTCCCTTAAATAATACTAACTTATTATAACTAGACCGTATACTTCTACTTTTGTCAAACAGACTTTTGTTATAATGATGAATTCGCACAGTTGCATATATAGAAGAAATTAATTCTATTAGGTTGTTAAAGTGGCTAGTAAAAATATTTTGTTCTCTAAAGTGGTTATTAAGTGATTCAAATAAGTTTTTTTTACCAATTATTATTTTTAAAACTCTAATATTTATTTTTTTAATATCGATAACAGTTTCTGAACCGTTAAAAAATATCTGAAGAATTTTTTCTGTTGTTAAACAAATATACATAACATCTTCAGATGGATAAAAGAGGTACTGTCCTTTGTCTTTTTGATTAATAAAGGACGTTATTAAATTATACCTGTCACCTGAAAGTGAATAGACACATTCCTCGCATTTTAAAATTTTACCTATTTTTTTAACCACAAAGCCAGCAATGTATGTTATGGCCTCTTTTTTAAATTCTGATATATTTATATTTATGTTTAAAGCATTGTGAAATATTTCATCGTCCTCAACTTCAATTACTTCTTCGGTTACTTCTGAAATGCGTTCTTTACCACATGTTTTATTAATTACCTCAGAAGGAGTTAAAATTGGAATTGCTTCCAACGGAATGCAATTCCCTTTAAATGAATCTCTCAATTCAAGATGGACCATCATTTTTTTATACGCCGATTTAAATTGTTTTGCTGATGGATTGTTGTTGTAACCACCCAGAGATCTAATCTGCCCAAAAAATAATTCAATGTGATCTTGACTTATTTTGTAGGTAGGGAAATACAACAGTAAATTATTCTCATAAATTAGATTTTTATAAAGAAATTGAAGGCTTTCTATATTAAATAAGAACCCTACAAATCCCATTTTTCTGCCGCTTTCGCACAATAGTTTGCCATCCATTAATCTTAATGATTTTAAATAATCTAATAATTCACACAAAAAAGAATTTATTTTTTCAAAGTTTTGCATACTGATTGGTTTTTTGAAATCAAGTTGGTGCAAATTTCTACTGTTTAATATATCAAATAAGTTGTTTATATAGCGTATGAATTTTACTGTGGGTTCAGAATCTTTAAACTGTTCAAGTTTTAAAATTTCATTGCAATATTCCAAAGAATGTGCTACTGATTGGCTAAATAGTTGGGTGGCTAATTTAACCTTCATTTTTTGGTTGCTATAAAATATATGTGATTTTCGCATTTTATTAGCCAAGTGCAAACCCTCTTCATCCTGAAGTTTACACAACTCTGTTAAAAAATCCCATTTTATTGTTCCACCGTTGTCATCTATAATAACTTTTTTTTCACCCAATGTATTCCTAATTAACTTTACCATATGACATGGATCAAAAAAAACTGCAATTCTTCTCCCAGAGTTAGGGTCAACAAATGTTGAATTAATATTTTTATAATCAAAATTACAACCCAGTTGTTTAGCCAAAGTAATATTGTTACTAGCCCCATCAAAAGTGATAGACACCAAGTGGATACCCGATTCATTTAGTAATTTTAGGCACTGTATTAGTAAATTATGTTTCTGTAAACCATTTAATGAGTCAATTAAGAAGTATCCCAGAGGAAGCTTCCAAGATTCGTTGACACCAACTAGCATAAATACCAGTGCTTCTTTTGCTACTGGATTAGAGTCAGTTTCTAGCTGAATACCATAATCTACAAATCCGTAGTATCGAACTCCATCAAATTCTACATGTTGGCGAATTGCCATTTCATCTATTACTAAACTACATATAATTGTGCGATTGGCATGTTCTACCTTTTTTTTTAATAATTGAAACACCTCTAATGTAAAACCAGCTTCCCCATTTACATTTTTATACCATCTCGATATTGTTTTAGGATGGGGAAGAGCTGAATTAAAAGTGTTCCTGACAAAATTATAAGCTTTTACAGAATAAAAATGTAACGTAAGGGAAAAAGCTTTTAAATTATTTCCATATTTGTGCTTCTTAGTTATTTGCCTCTGTAAAAATTCTTCGTTAGGACCTATTTGTGCTAAAGTTTCCAAAGTTTCGGGAGTTACCTTACCACATAATGATTTGATGACATCAGAAAGAGTGGCTGACTTCTTTTTGTAATGCTGGAGACTGGCTCTAAGACGTTTAATTTTTCTTCGAGCTGTGACTAGCTTCTTTGTCAATTTCATTTCTCGTGGCGTAGTATCCTGAAAAAGTATATTGATGTTTAGTAAACAATATTACTAGCAAAGCGTAAGAAAATAATATTTATGAACTAATAATTATTGCCGTAGTTTAAAACATGGTAAGCATTATGTCAAATATTCATATGGATTGCCTTTATGCAACCGACAAAATATAAAATAAATTCTGTTAATATGTTAAATCAACAAAAAAATGCTTACAGACATTCAGGTAGGGATGTAAAAATGGTAATTTATTTTTTGTGACATGACATTGTCATTTATGTGTCATTTACGGTCATTTATGGTCATTTACCTTAAATGTAAAAAAATCGCTAGGGAAGTAAAGATAAAGATATATTAACAAATACAAACAAACTTAAACAAAAATCAGTCTTAGTGGTTCTACGTTCACTAAATAAGCTTAAAGGCATAGCTTAGGTATACTTTTAAAATAAAATAATAATATTTAAAAAAAAAATGAAACAAAACACAGCTATATCACACTGAGTAACTAAGGTCCATTTGTTTTCAAAGAAAAAATGGAATAAAGAGATATATATCATAAATTTAAGTCATAAATTTAGGTGAACAAAAAAATAAATGACAAGAGTGTCATAAAAATAAATGACAAGAGTGTCATAAAAATAAATGACAAGAGTGTCATAAAAATAAATGACGTGACCGTCATTTTCATTATGACCGTTACATGACAATGTCAGAAAAATTTGGGGGTTTTCAAAGAAAAAATGAAATAAAGAGATATATATCATAAATTTACGTCATAAATTTAGGTGAACAAAGAAATAAATGACAAGAGTGTCATAAAAATAAATGACGTGACCGTCATTTTCATTTTGACCGTAACATGACAATGTCAGAAAAATTTGGGGGTATTTAGTTTTTTATAATTTGCTCACATCCCTACATACAGGCAAAGTTTTTCTTATAGCAATTGTACTTGTTATTAAAATATACAGTTAAAACTTTTTTTAGTGTAATACACTCGTATGTGTCAAAAACAGTTCTTTATCAACAATGTTTTCTTATTTAGTTCATCCAGGTATTCTGCATATTAGAAGCAAAGCTTTTTATTACATATCTTTATTTATACTTGAATAGCATATGTGCTAAAGTATATTTTAATTCTCTGTAAACTTACACTGACATTTTTTCTAAAACATCATATGCCTAAAATAATCAGCTTCTGAGATATAATTATACAATACAATTGAAAAAATGGTGTCAAAGTTAGCTTGGATATGAAGACCACTGTTATTTTATATAAAAAATTATACGAAGAATGTCATCGATCATCATTTCCAAGTTCACTTTCGCCATTTCCTTTTCTTGATTATACAGTAGTACTGTATTACAGTTGAGGGTTTGGTTGATTATTTTGCAGTACTGTATGTTCAAACGGTTTTCGATCCAGCATACTTTGATATTGATAGTTCAAAATGGTTTTCATGATATAGACCAATTCCCAATATATTCCCCTTAAGATCTCTAATTCAAATTACATTTGTAACCAGACTTACCGCAATATCCTTGGCAATGGATGAAAGTGGTGAAGTCATATTTTCTAAAGGTTCAGTGCTACTCGATGGTCTATATGGTAGTTCTAGATTGTCCTTAAAAACACCTGTGCTAGTAGACGGCAGAGAACTACAATCCATTACAGAGACACTCTGTATTGTATTTGCATGTTCAGAACAAAAGGAATCAGTGGTCTTTCTAGATAGGTCACATTCACTTGCAGCACGACATGAAGTGTTACTTGTAATCTATAAAAAAAGTAATAAATATTCTTAAAATGTATAAAAATTGATCAAAAAATAAAATGTAGTGGTCACGTAACCACTACTTTCAAAAAATTTTCATTTCGCTTATTTAAATCTTAAAATATAATATAGTAAAATATAATAATAAAGTATTGTGACAAAGGCTAAATTATAAAAAATATATATTTTATAATGAACTAGCAGTTTTTTTTAAATTCCCTGTTTATTAATATTTCATATTACTTTGAAACATAAAATATTCTAAATTAGCACTTACCAATATAGGTATAGCAGTTTTCTTTAAATGTAATGAAAAGGGTGATTTTTCATTATCAAATGAATCTTCTTTAAAATGCAAATGACACACGTGAGAATATTTAAAAATATCATCTTTGTTTAAATCCAAAGCTGCTCTCCAAGACTCCCACATCTCATTATTTTTAGGAAATCTAAAATAAATCAGGTATAGGTTAGATATGCAGTAAAAGCTAAAGTAAAAGGCTAGATAAGATAGTAAGTAAAATCTAGATTAGATATACAGACATTAATAACTAAAATAATTTCTAATTTATTATACTGTTTCGTGTCAATAACATCTGAAATAAAAGTGAGAATGAACTCCATATATTTATAAGGAAATTATTCTCTTAATCTAGAAAACTGTAACTGATTTTCCTGCAATTATCAATTTGGATTCCATTAATTTAATAAAAAATTGAAAACGTACTAAATGCTGTCCTGTACAAAGTTAAAACAGAAAACAACATGGCTACTTTAAATTATCAAATTTCATATTACTTACCGAAATAAATGCACATCAGTCTTATCCCGATAGTAATTGGCACTTTTATTATAAATACAGTTTTTTACAACACACCTAGGCATTTTTAAACAATAGTAAGTCCAAATTAAACACAAACAAAGCCACTAGAACGACTGTAAACACACAGCTGACACAACGAAAATGGCAGAAAATAGAGTCGGTTGACAGCTCATCGGCCCCAGTCGGCGCGTTATTCAAATAAATGTTATTCATTGGTCCGAGCGCTTGGAATCCTGGAGTGGGAAACTGGCAGGATGCGCAGTGGTCTTTGCTACATCTTTAACTTCATAAATCTATGGCAAAATCAAACAGTTTTAGACAACCAATACAAGATTTAGAACTTGACATCGTGATAAACAAATTGTACATTCAGGAACTCGTTTAAATATTATAGGTAAGTAATATTTTCACAAAACTAAACATTTTAGCATAAAATCACAGGTAATATATAGAATATTACCTATGATAAAATGTTAAATACTGATGTATATTTATTCTAATCACATATAAATTTAAACTCAAAATTTTCATAAAAAGAAAATGAGAATTTTTCGCAAATATAAAGTAAATAATATTACATATTTCAGGTTGATTGACGAATACTCCACAGTTGATTAGAGCCCATGATGATGCGAAGATAATTAATATCACCTAACTTCAAGAAACCAGCGTAAAGAAGTTTACATTCACAACTCATCTAACCATTATAGGTAATAATTTACAAAATTAGTCATTTTTGATTATAATATTAAGGTACTTAGGTACATTTTTATCTTCTAGATCAGTATGTCGTCATAATTTAAATGAACTCACAGATAGCAATGGGGCACTGCACCGAAGCAGTATTACAAAATATGTGAAATAAAACTGTAATACAAATTGCTCTATAAAATTTAATAGAAATAAATTTATTTATGAAAATTAAGTTATGAAGTTTTATTTTTCCTAGGAAAAAAATAACATTTATATTTTGATCAATTTAGAACATTACAGTTAAAAAAATATGTGTTAGAATAACATATTTTTAATAAAATTGCAGCTTTTAATTTTTATACTTTTTTGCTTTTATATCAATAAGAACTAACGTAAGGAACAATTCATATTTATACTATGAAAACACATGCATATTTTTTGATGTTTTTAAAACCAGTGAATGATGTTGAAATATACTACACCTATTATTCTTATTAACTAACTTTAATTACAAACTTACACATTATTGTCATTGGAAATAAATTAATTTGGATATTCTATTTGTTTAGAAACTTTTTTACCTATTGTAGTTTTTTTAAAACCTACTTGATTTAAAACAAAAAAATGTCACCTGTTGTGACAAAATAAGGTCTTTTTTACTAGAAAACAATCTAGTGAGCTTTTCTAATAATACTTTATTTGATATACCATATGATCGAAAAAACGGCGTGAGCGATGGCTATGAAATGAAGATCGCTGTCATTTTAAATGTAAATTTATATGGGAAATGTCATCGATTGCCAACTGGACGCCGTTTTTTTTTTTTCGATCATACGGTATAATATGTATTCCCATCTGTTAATCTTTTTATTTTAAGGAAGATTTAGGAAGGGTAGCTTAAAACATGTTTGTCAATCAATTATCTTTATATGTCGTTTGTAAAAATATTTTACAGTAGTAGAAAATAAAACTGTTTTTAAGGCGAACAGCTTCTTTGCTAAAATATTAGAAATAGTTTATTTCAACCTCTTCAGCTTATTTTAAAAATGTTGACAAATAACAAAGAATACACCCCTTAAAGTTTCGCATTTGTCTTGATATACTCTGTATAAGACAACAGTAAATAACTTGTAATATAACTTCGAAATATAAATTTGAAATTAAAATAATGACAGAAATTGACAGCTATGTTGAAGTAACGTCAGACATATCACAGCCACCCTAGATTTTATCAAATAATAAAGATCTATTCACACTAAATCATAGAAATGAAAATATCTAAGAAAATCTTTGTTTGAGGGGTAGGCCGGCAACCTTAATAGTATTTGGAAGTGACATGAATTTCCCATTGAATATCGGAATAATATTCTGGGTGATTCAATTAAACTAAAGGAGTTATACAGGGTGGGTATTAAAGGAGATACAGGTTATACCAATGTTCAGCATTAATTTTGCCCCACCCTGTATAACTTTATGGGTCAGGTTTTAATTTGATTTAAAGTGCAATAGAGTAAATTCCAATTTAGGTAGTTTTTCTTGAAATTTAAAAATTGTTCTTCAAAATCTTAAGTAAGTCTAAAACCTTACATTTCAGTCATATACTTCCCTAATAAAACACACCTTTATTTTTCTCTTAGAATCTAAAAATTAATTAATAAAGGGGGTATTCCCTTACAAAAAAATACAAATTTGATGTGTAACTTTTTTTGGGGACACCCTGTAGAACTCTCTATATTTTTAAAACGTACGCAGAATTAACTTACATATGATCACAAAATTTCATTTCAATACGAATTGGTCGTTCTCCTTGGAGCCTCCGAGTCATATGAGAGGCGCCACCCTGTATAATTTTTATATAGTTGCACTTTAATAAATTGTTAGTTAAAACTAACAGTCCTACGAGTGTGGAATTTTGTACAGGTGGATTTTGGACATTCATCTCTTAAGAGAGTGAAATAAGGGATGAAAATTTGTACAAACATTTGTTAAAATCGGGTTTAGAAGTATGAAATTCTGTTTGTTCCTTATGTAACGTAATTTAGTAATAACAAGCAATTTTTTTTCAGAACGTCCACACCTCATTTCACCCCGTTAGAGGGCGAATTTCCAAAAATTGTTCCTGAGTGCTAAATTACGTTACATAAGGAACGTCTGCGCAAAATTTCATACTTCCAAAACCCGATTTTAATGAATTTGTACAAATTTTCATCCCTTAATTCTTATGGGGCGAATGCCTAAAATTCGCTTCTGAGTACTCACTTTCATCACTTGAGGAACCTCTGTGCAAATTTTCATACTTCTAGGACAGATTTTTTTCAGAAAGTTCGCCCCTCATTTCACCCCCTTAGAGGGAAAATTTCGAAAAATTGCTTCTTAGTGCTAAATTACCTTATATAAGGAACGTCTGCGAACAATTTTATACTTCCAAAACCGATTTTAACAAATTTTTGTACATATTTTCATTCCTTATTTCTTAAGGGATGAATGCCCAAAATTCGCTTCTGAGTATAACTTTCATCACATGATGAACCTCTGTGCCAATTTTCATACTTCTAGGACAGATTTTTTTTCAGAACGTTCACCCTTCATTTCACCCCCTTAGAGGGAAAATTTCCTAAAATTGCCTCTTAGTGCTAAATTAAGTTACATAAGGAACGTCTACGCAGAATTTCATACTTCTAAAACCGATTTTAACAAATTTTTATACCAATTTTCATCCCTTATTTCTTGGGGGATGAATGTCCAAATTCGCTTCTGAGTACTCACTTTCGTCACTTAATTAACAATTTCCAAATTTCAAACTCCTCGGACTAATTTTAAAAAAGTATACAAAATTTCACCCCCAGTTTCACCCCTTAGTAGAAGAATTTCCTAAAATCGCTTTGTATAATCGAACTGTTAAGTTACGCTACTTAAGGCACCTCTGTGCAAAATTTCGTAGTCCTAGGACATGCTTTTTTTTGTATACAAAAGTACCCCCCATATCACCCCCTTAACGAGCGAATTTCCAAAAATTGCCCCTTAGTGTTCAATTACGTCAGTCAAGGAGCACTCGTGAAAAATTTCATACTCTTAAACCAGATTTTAACAAATTTTTATGCAGCTTTTCATCCCTAATTTCACCCCCTTAGCGGTCGAATTTTCAAAAAATCCCTTCTTAGTGCTCATTTACATCACTTAAGGAACCTATGTGCCAAATTTTATTTATTACTATATAGATAACCTTTACCCTTATTTTCAGCTAATGAATATTAAGAGACAAATAATAAAAATAAAATCTAAATTATAAATTTCATGGCTATAATAGCATATATATGCATCTAGAAATTCTGACTTTCAAACATCCACTGCGACTAGTATTTTCATATCCAATTGTTTAGTATTAAAGTCCGAATATACATTTTCCCTGGGTTTGACCGGAATTTGCTTATAAATGTGAACAACCGGCTACGTGGCTTCATATCGCGTGGCCGTGGTGTGGCTCCAAATTCGTTCGTTTTTAAAATATTATTAGATTTGGCTATAGGCGCCCTCTGTGTCATTAATAGGGAACTGTCTCATCGAAAACATGCTGTTCCGTAAGCAATGGCCATCTGGATTATGTGTTATCTGTGGTATTAATATATATATATATATATATATATATATATATATATATATATATATATATATATATATATATATATATATATATATATATATATATATAAAAGTATTATATATAGTGTATATATATATATATATATATATATATATATATATATATATATATATATATATATATATATATATATATATATATATATATATATATATATATATATATATATATATAGTATATATATATATATATATATATATATATATATATATATATATATATATATATATATATATATATATAAAAGTATATATATAGTATATATATATATATATATATATATATATATATATATATATATATATAACCAACATTATTATGTACATATTATTACAGTGCGCTAATATATATATATGTATTACATATACATATACATATGTATTATTACATTACTATACATACATATATATATATATATATATATATATATATACTATATATAATACTTTATATTTTTTATATTTTTTTGTATCTTTCATTGTTTTTTTTTGTTATTATATTTATACATTTGATATATTAATTTAAGATAAGGTAGTAGATATTGATATTATTTGTTAGGTTATACTGTAATGGTACTCGGTTAACTAAGCAGTTATTTACTGAACTTCGCCGAGGATTATTAAAATAAAGACATACTATTATTATTATTATTATAGATCTAAAGTAATTTTCCTTTCTTCCAACTTTACCCACTTGGTCCTTTCTCCATGCTCTGCTTCGCTCACCTGCCTGTAATTCAACTGGTATGGTTCCTGAAATGACCATCAAGGCACTTGTAGAAATTGTGCGGAAGGAAATGCATATTCGCATAGCAACCCTCCTCTGCACTTTCTGACAGAGCTGTTTGTATTTCTGGCATTTTAAAGTTTCCTGTTAAACAGCAGAATTGAGTGGGTTATAGCACTAAGGAAGTTTCTTTTTTGCTCGGTGGGTCTATCTCTGTTCAGCATTAACCTGGATAGTAGCAGAGCTGATCTCTCCGCTTTTTTGCATGTTCTATGTGTCTTTTCATTGTGGCTCCACTATCGAGAATAACACCCAGATATCTGATGCTAGGTTTAGTCTCTACCTCCATGTGCAGAACATCGATCGTAAGCCTTCTTGCATACTTCCGCTTGTTTAATAATACAGCCTCCGTTTTTTCTGGTGCCATCGCCAGTTCTAGTTTTTTCACGTGCATCCACTCCGCAATTCTTCCTATAGCAATATTTGCATCTGCTACCACTTGTCCTTTTGTTTTTGCACTAACTATGACAGCAAGGTCATCATAGGAATCCTACTAATTTCACGTTCTTTGGCATTTCTAGTCTAAGTACGTCGTCGTAGTACAAGTTCTAGAGCACAGGACCGAGCACAGATCCCTGCGGAACTCCACATGTCACGTCTATTTCGGAATTCTCAGTAATCTGCAGCTTTCTCTCTGAGAGATAGCTCGTGATCATACGCCTTAGATAAGGTGCGATATTTCTTTTTTCCAGGCATTTAATTATTTCTCTCCATGGTGCAGAGTTAAAAGCGTTTCGCACATCCAAAGCCACAGCAGTAAGCAGATCTTTCGATTTGCCCATGCCGCATTTTTTGCATCCTTTGCAATGCTGAGAACTCTTTTCATTGCATCGACCATAGAACGCCCCTTGTGCCAAATTGTGAATCGCAAAAGCCTCCGTCGTTCTCTATCTCAGTAACAAGGCGGACTTTTATAAGATGTTCTAATACCTTTCCTATGCAGTTTAGTAGACTCAGGGGGCGGTAGCATACATCCGCGGCTATGTGTGTCGCTGCCTTAAGTTGAAATTTGTTCGTAATAATCTGGTGTCTCCTTCCCTAGACATCACTTTGTACTTCCGGTATGACACTCTTCAAAGATTTTTCTTGGCTTCCTATATCGCCTTTTTTAATTCCTTCCTTTTTACCCTATATTGTTCTTTTGCATCTATTTTTTCTTCTTCAGTACTTCTCATTGACTTGTTTGTTCGTATCATCAATCTCTTCCCTTCTAGACAGTTCCTTCTCAGTTCCGCTATCTGTGCCGACCACCAGTACACTGGCTTTCTCTTTCCTCTAATGGAAGGTTTCATTGCAGGCATGGGTTATTATCTCTGTTTGTTCCTATGGAGTGAGCGGAAAAGTGCGTCCGGTCACAGTTGTTTTCATTTTCGATTTTAGTCTCTCCATTTTTTCTTCTGCTATCTTCCAGCCTCTAAATGTTTCCTTTTCCAATACTATATTCTTCTGTCTTGTCATTTCAAAGAAACTCTCTTTTTCAGAAACCCAGTTGTGAAACATTGTATTTAAACCTCTGGAAACGAACGTAATATCGATGAATAAAGAACTGTCTCCTCTCTGGAAAGTAGGGACAGAGCGGTGATTTAAGGATATAAGGTCCAATCCTGCGGCCCATTCCTATAGGATATCTCCTCTTTTGTCACTTTTAGACGAACCCTACATTTCTGATTTTGCTTTAAAATCCCCTGCCAAGACGCACTTTTTCCACTTTTCCCCAAAATTACCGCCGGCGATAATGGCGGTGTAGGCAATTGCTAGTTGTAGCTCTAGCAATCAAAACACGCTGTAAGTATTTTTTTTTTCTCTGTTGGTTTAATGCACATTTGTTTTTTGCTGAATTTTAATACGTATTAGATTACTTTGGTTTGGTTTGGTTTAAAATAAAGTTGTAAAATAAAAGTTGGCAACAAACTGGATAAATTACCACCTATACAAGGTGTCCCACAACCTGTTGTAGAGGCCATCAAAACAAATCATTTGAGTATAGGAACCCATGTCTCGAAATGTGCCGCTTTGGCAGGAGATGGAGTGAAACATAAATTTCAAGTTGCATGATTTATTCAAAACATTTACAAAAACTCCTCAAAGTGCCGTCCACGCGCGTGCATTTGTGTCTTCAACAGAATGGACGACACTTTGAGCATTTTTTTGTAAATGTTTTGAATAAATAATGCAATTTGAAATTTACGTTTCACTCCACCTCCTGCCAAAACGGCACATTTCCGGACATGGGTTCCTATACTCAAATCATTTGTTTTGATGCCTTCTACAACCCCTTTCAGTTTATCGCACTAATTGTGGGACACCCTGTATAGCATAGCTCCAGCAATCTAGTAAGCGCAAAAATATTTTTGAGGTTAAAAAATATTTTCTCTTATTTTACACAAAATTGTATTTTTCCTCAACTCAAGCTCTTTATTTTTGTCGAAACAGCATTAGAATATACACTTCATTCTATAGCAAATTTGATAATTTCGAGGGCCGTAAAGTGACATGGATCCCAAATAGCACCTAAAATATAATACATAATATTTTTAAATCTAGTGCATTTCTGACTGAACGCTGAGAATTTTGTATGTAAAAATAGACCGTTTAAGGAAGTCGCTTACTCAACTACTCAGCCGTTGACCGTTCATGAACACGTTAATGTATGTTATTGATTTTTTCTTTTGATTTTTCTTTCAGATATTTTTGTGATATGGATGCTTTTTAAATGTATGTCGGTTATGTGTAAAATAAAAGAGGAATATTCACTCCCCTCTATACCGGTTTTATATTCAACCAATGACAAAGAAAGTGATGCAAATAATGAATTTTGCGAAACGTCGACAACTTTAAAACAAAGGACTTCTGTTGAGTGTCTTTTCGGTCCTAACCTAATTATAAAAATAAACAGAATATTTACATAAATGCAAACCTAATATAGTAGATATGTTATTTATAGTAGAGAACAACAAAATCAGGCTTGCCTAATTATTGACACCAGAATCACAGAAACTGTTTTTCTGGATTTCCGTACGACTTTGGACAGGTAGAAGATTCCAGTACCTCCGGATATCGTTATACCCGGATTATACCGGAGGACCGAACATGCATAAATGTACCTAGTATTTTGTTATTCATTTTACGTCGAACATAAAAAGTACATTTCCATAAAAAAGCGTTAAGATATGAAAAATCAACATGTCGTTAAAAGTATATAACTTGTGTTAATGTAACAACAATTAAAATAATTAGCGTTATTTATACCTCTCATATACCTAAATGTGCAATTTACCGTATTGCCTATTATTACGTCTTTGTGATTATTGGATGTTACAATTAATATTAGATAGACATACCATTTTTTGTTAAAGAAATTATTTCTTTGATTTGGTTTGGTTTGGTAATGTGTATCGTCTGATCGAAAAAAGCGGCATCCAGTTGGCTGGTATATGACGATCGATGATATTTTCTATATAAATTTACATAAAAAATGGCGATCTTTATTTCATAACCATTGCTGACGCCGGTTTTTGTCGATCATACGGTATAAAGAAAATGGGCACGGCATTTCCACAGCTAAATTCGTTTTCTTGTTGAATTTTCGTAAGATACATAAAACAAATAAAAAGAGAGAATTAATCTTAATAAGCATATTTTTTTTGATAAAGATTTTCTAAAAAAGAAATTAAATAATAATCCCATCAAAAACATAGAATGTAAAAAATGCCAAGTCTCGCAACACAATTCTTCCACTATAAAAAGTTGTGAGATCTCATGTAAAACCAAGTCAGCTTATTTTATTTGGATTGTCTTTAAGCACCTATTCAACAATTTTGTTATCAACAAATTGTTAGCATCAATATTAGTTATCTTTATTTCTGTAATAATTATAATGACTTGGCAATTATTGACAGCACCATAATTGTAAAAAAATAATCTACCAGCAAAATAAAACACTAAATCACCACAATACACTAAAACACTTTACTTCTGCATCTTGGTTTCCAGTGCAAAAGTAAAACAAAAGTAAAAAAGTCCTAACCTAACCAAATAAGACAAATTACTTGGTTTTACATGAGAACCCACAACTTTTTATACTGGATGAATTGTGTTGCGAGACTTCGCATTTTTTACATTCATTATTTCCATCTTTTCATGGGATCCTATTTTTTTTGTAGGTTATCCTCCTATTTTTTTCTAGGGTAATATATCATTCAAAATAATATTAAAGAAGTGTGACTCGCAATAATTCATCAACTTTGAATTATTGTATAAAGTCAGATTAGATCAAATGGATTAATTCTAGTTTTCTACGACTTGTGTTTCAGACTTTCGTTAAAACCCAAGTTCCAGCTTTAAAAATGTTTAATACATGATTTTAACAATGCTTATTCAAAGTTATGTTTTTGTCAATGTCACAAATATTTTATTTTTTATCTTGAAAACTATAAGAGATAGGTATAGGTTAGTATAATAGAAAAATTATGAGATATGAGAGTAGTTTTTAAAAATGTAATAATGTCCTGGGTGTTCCATTTAAAATAACAAAGATGCTACCACTTTTTAAATAACCAGGCAATACTATAACGCTGATAATATTTTAGATAGATGGAGCAGGTGCCTTTATATAAAAATTAAAATTTTCAGAACAACCCTATTACCGGTCCTCCTATTACCATCGCCGGAAAGTCGGTGGTGTTTAAAGATTTCCCTGTTACTCCCTGTATATATCTCCATTATCCGTATATAACCCAAATATAAAAATAATTATTTTAAATTTGAGAAAAATTAAGGTCATTTTGGATTTAGTGTAATTGGCTTTTACATATGCATATTATGTTTAAATTATAATTGCCAATGAAGTCGCAATAGTAAAACACAATTGATAAGGAAAATATACTTATAGAAAATATATCTAATATTCGGAACCAAGTTTGTGCTATTGAGAAGTACTATTATATACTTGAAATACAAATTTCGGGGCTATTTTAGTAAAAGAAAAAATATTATGGTGTTTTTACGAGTTGTAAAATTAATTTAATTATACCGCCAACACAGGAAGTACTGTGCTGGTGCATATATTTTTTACATATGCATATACTTAGGATTCGATTTTTCGTTGGTCCTTTCTGACATTAAAGTTAGAAATAATCACTTAGTATAATTACATTTCCCAATATTTTGACTGTGGCATCATTTTATTTTGTGGTAAGTATTGAATCAATAAAAACTTCTTTATATCTTGAAATTTGGATAGAATTCCATTCTTTTTTACTTTTTTGGATTGTTTATTGTGCCAGAAACCGTCTTAATAAACCGGTATATCCGAGAGTGTTTGTTGCATTTTGAACTAACAAATTAGTAGCAATATACCGGGTGCTTCTCGAAAGTCGCTCACCCCTATAACTTTGTTTATTTTTTTCCAATAAAAAACGAGATTTGGTATGTATTATTATCCTTTGACATTTCCGCTTTAAAAAAATCGTATTTTAAATTTCAATCTAGAGTGCCATGGCTGTGCTAAAAATACTAATTTCTAATCAAGGAGCCTTGGAAAAATAATTTTGATCGTCTAATGTTTTTCATGTCTTGTCTTGGCCGGTTAAAAGATACCCAGCGAGGGTACCTCATTAGCATATTTAGAAAAAGCATATTTTTTACGAATAATTTGGTACCACATACTTAGTATTTCGAATTAAGTTGTCGTTATGGACCGAAAGTTACAAGTTCAAATAAACCATATGCGAAAAAGTCAAAAGTTGACATATATGATATGTCATTCTATTCAGAGTCATTTCAGAGTGTCATTTTTAAAAATCAGAATGTAGAATGTAGAATGAGTGAGAGGGGGGGGGTTTGGTTTGTGGTTTGGTTGTGCAGTCTATAACCCATCATACCTCTGTTGTAGAGGGGTATTTCCCATCCTCTGACAACAGATGTTCTTCCGAGGGTACATACCCTTCCACGGTAGGGGTTTGGCCCTCCGTGTCCTTCACAGTCGAGGAGCTTGCCTCCGGCAGAGGTACCCGTGAGATGTAGGCTGGAGGATCTGTCTCCATTCTCTCCACCTCTTGTCTCCATTCTCTCCCACTCGATGTCCTTACATTGATGTTCTGACCCTGGATAAGGCTCAGCAGGTAGGTGGTGTCTTTCCCCTTGCTCTTCGGCAAAAAGACCGCGATGGACGCCCCTTTAGGAATGTTTTCTCCCTTCACTGCAACCAGTTCCGGTCCTTGCCAATTTTTAAGTTTAGGTGCGATTTCCACCAACCAATTCGCCGATTCTTGAGATAGACAATCTATGAGGATCATGCCCACCCGAAAGTGTATCCCCGCAAAACGCAGCTGATCCACATTTTGTAGATCCAGTATATGTTCGTCCAGTATAGCTTCTTCTAGAAAGGTTTGCTGGTCGGTGGTTAGAGCAACCTCTGGGAAATTCTTTGGCAGCACCGCCATTTTCACTTGTCCAGCAATAGCGGCAAAGCTGGTGATACGTCCCTGCTGGCCTCCCGGTGCTAGACAGCTTTCCATCCTGGCTTTTTTCTCTTGCCCTCTCCCTCTCTTGCTCTTTGATGGAGATAAGTCAGGTTGTCTCTTGGTTTCTTTACTCTACCCTTTTTAAAGGAGTATTTTTGCTTTTGCTTCCTCTGGAGCGAGTCCTTCGTGGAGCAGTCGGAGGTATCTCCGTTCTTCTGCTCCTCTAAGACCTACTCTCAGAGGATCGTCTAGCCTGCCTGGTTGACCCAGGCCGGCTAAAGGAACGGTAGCTTGTGTCGCTTATCGGGTCTAGAGGTAGGCTCTCGACCCTTGCTGGAGAAGGTGGTAGCATGTGTGCCACTTGTGGAGGATGATGATCTCACGCAAGTGTCAGCCACCCCTCTTGTAGTTTCCTTTGGATTTGGTCCCTTGGAATTTTCATTGGTAATGTTCCCAGTTTCGCTAGGGGGCTTCTCCACAGCTTCACCGGTGGTGTTTTTAATACTAGATCTCATAGTGCTCTCACGAGTTGCTAGGGATAGTTGGTCGACTTCTACAGAGCCCCGCATGTTGAAGTTAGTTGTAAATACAATGGGGTGCCCCCTGATGCCCCAAAGGTGAGGACAGTAATGGCTTGTCCTCTATCTAGCCACGCAAGCATTGACAAGGACAAGGTCTTGCACTTTGACCTGGTCCCGCCATCGTAGGATTTAGGTTTTTGGTGAAGTTGTCTCCTCTTGATCCGGGCCACACACCCTTTACCCCCCCCACCCTCTACCCGCGAGACATGACCACAGTCAGTAGAGCGTGCATGATGTGACGGATAGGGGTAGTCCCGTCCGGCACGGCATCGTTATATGTCCTGGTGCAATTCCCTGGCCACGACACTACAACCAGGGACAAGACGATGAGTGATGCTTCTTAGACCAAACCAAGTTCTAGGGGGATTCCCCCAGCACCTGACCAGGAGCTTCCCCACCAACGACAAGGTCTTGCATTCCGGTGAAACAGGACGTAACCAAAAACAACTAAATACGTCAAACAATCCTATTTTATGTCATATACTAACATACCAAATCTCGTTTTTTTGTCTAATAAAATAAAAAAAAGTTATAGGGGTAAACCATTTTTGAGACGCACCCGGTATAGATACTTGATTCGTCATGTTCACAGAAAAATTAATAGAAAAAATATTTAAAAAAAAAATATTCTAAATATTCAATTTGGTATATCCCGAAAAAATAATTTAAATTTGTTGGTTCACTTATTGTATGTATTTTTCAATTTACTCCATTTCCTTAATCGAAAAATTAACACCTTTGTGTTAAGTGTAAATAAATTATATTGAAAAATAAATGGTGACGTTAATAATAATATTCTTATTATGCAACTGTATTTATATATTTTAATGCCTGAACTTTGGGTCGAAATACTTATACTTTGGTTACTTATACTACCTCTCTAAATATTGGAGACCGAATATATTATTATGTAAATAACTTATTAGGATACTAATCAAGCACGTCATTGTTGCAACTGCGTTAATACGCCTGGCGGTGACCGCCTCATATTCTTTCAGATATTTAGCAATAAAATAAAGAAACCTGTTATTTTTAAGCTGTTATTTTAAGCTGTTTTTTATAAATAACTATAACAGTTTCAACTGTTATCTAAAAATAACAGTTTTGCCCATCACTAATGATTATTATCGATTTAGTAAATAAACTTTCCTTAAAATTTCTGGAAATACGTATAACTAAAATTTTCGGGTTTCATTTTATTTATTTAGAGGTCCGTTACTTACGTGAGGTGTTTGGAGATTTTTTTTAACCAACCATTTTTGCGTGTCTATGTTCAGAAAAATTTCTAGAATGAAAAACAGAAACGTGGTTTCATGTACCTGGTTTCGGCTATTCTAAAGTTTGGAAAAATAAAAATTATGCATTTCCGCAGAAAGATTTTCATGACATACTATTCAAAAAGGCTTCCAAGTACTAAAGAAACTTGGAAGACCAAACTTAAAGAATTTCTTACATAACTGATTAGGTAATTATAATAAATTATAATTACGATATCAATGTGGGAGCCCGATTAATATTCATTTACTAAATAAAGTTTTGTAGAATTTCTAGAAATATGGGGAGTAAACCAAAAAATCCACAAATATATTCAAAAAGTAAGTTTGCAATCTAGTGGGGTAGCGGATCGAATGTAGAGAAAAATTAGATATACTAAAACTCTTTACTAAAAGGGTATAAAAATTGTCGGAAACGCGTCAAAGAAGAGGAAAACCAAAGCTATTAACAATTAATATCTTTGAGGAAAACAAATATGTAGCTAAGATTTAGTTCAAAATGTTGAGCAGAAATCCGGGGAATCCAGGGAGATAAGATTACTAAGAAAATTGAAAAAAAATTAGTATATATCATATTTCTGAAACACAGTGATAATTTATGATACATACTTAAACAAGTAATAGAGAGACCTAATAATGAAAATTATTACGGCGTCCATATAAAAAAGTTAGTGATGCTACAGATAAACAAAACGTTGTAAATTATTTTCGCCGCTAACCTAGCTGTTAGAATTAACTTTCAAACATGTAAATAAATATGAATTTGAAATCTAAGTGATAAATCGGGCTCATTAACGTAAACCTTTTTTTTATTTTGAACCAGCCTGTGTTCTTGGTGATATCGAAATCCAAATCGTTGATTTCCGGGAGAGTCGATGTTCGAACACCCCTTTATAAAAACACCGGGATTTCCTGTATCTATACAAGGTGGATCATAAATAAGTGTAAATATTTTTAGAGGTGGTATATTTCGACTCCAGGAACACGTCTATGAGGTTTTTTTCGCAAAAAAGGTGTTGAAAATTGCTAATAATAATTTAGAAAAATGCATTTTTCAAAATTTTTCTGTATATTTTAAAAAACTTTTTAGAATTGCGGGATGTTCACCCCAAATTTTCTCATGGTATAATTTTATTTATCTCTGATATTACCATGGTTACCGCTTTACCATCCATAGGGTAAAGTAACCATTTATGACACTAAAAGAGATGCAAATACAGAAAAAATCCGGTGGCTTTTTTTTAAATAAATCAATTTAAAAAAAATCAAACTTGAATAACGGGGTTATTTTAGACTTATTTGAAAAACGTAAAGATAAAATATGGTTCTTTTATCGATACCTACCAGCCTTGAAAATATTCGCACTTATGTATATATACAGGGTGGTCCGTATTGTATTTGGAAAACTTCGGCAGCATATTCTGCTGATAAAAAGTTAGTTCTGAAATTATTTGAGTTATTTTATTTCGAAATAAAAATGAAACTTAATAATAATTTTCGAAATAAAAATGAAACATCCTTTATCTCCGAAACTGTAGAACATAAATCTATACGAACTTTTTTACTTATTCTTATCTGCAGAATATACTGCCGAAGTTTTCCGAGTACAATTCGGACCACCCTGTATCCTATATAAGATGTAAAGTCTTGTATTTTTCGACTTTGACTGCATCAAAATTAGCTTCCAAATGGCGTCATTCATTGACTATCATTTCTATGTAAAAATGTATAGTAAATGTGACTCATGGTTCTTTTCAAGCCAATTTAACGTTTAGCGCTTAAACGCATTGACGATCAGGTCGCAGCGACCAGCATTTGATTCAATGTTATTAGGAAACGCAGCTGCGACCAGTAATAACACTGAATCAAGTGCTGGTCGCTGAGACCTGGTCGTCAGTGCGTTAGAGCCCTATCTATCATACGCTTTTATAAAAAAAATGAAGAAAGTTATTAATAAAATAAATATTTTTTATTATATTCTATTAACATTTCTATCTGTATTCCATTTTTATTAGGTCCAATATTCTTAATATGGTGAATACAAATTTTACCATCATATTTCAGAGGGCTAGTGTATACATGCAATTATTAAATTTGTTTTAGTTATCCAGCACATGAAGCAATGAACACCGTTTTAATATGTGTTTCTGTTCTTTTGGGTTTAATTTCAGCTCAGAGTGTTCCTTCTGTGGTAAGTAAATATATAAAAGATTCTTTTTGATCCATTAATAAACGATTCAACTTTTAACTTATTTAGTTGCTAATTATCTATGAATAGATGGTGGGTCTCAAAACTACCTCATCTCTATACCTTTTTTATTTTTTCAGTGAAAAAACGAGATTTTGTATGTTAGTATATGACATAAATTAGGATTGATTGACGTATTCAATTGTTTTCGGTCACTTCCTGTTTCTCTGGAAATGACTACAATACGATTTTTAAATTGCACGTTCGGCATTTTTTTTAATTTATTTGATAGAAAATAACACTCTGAATAGAATGATGTCAACTTTTGACATTTTCGCATATTTATGGTCTTTGAATAAGAAGACTAAGGAAGGAGCATATCAAAAATCTTAGGTCCACCGCGATGGGCCTCAAATATGGCCGACTTAAATTCCGGTTTATCAGTGCCGTTCTAATTTTATTTAAAAAATGTAAAACTATGATGTAGGGTGGACGTGGGGTAGACTCAATATTTTTATTTTTATTTTACGTTGTGAATAAATGTTGGTAGTTATTAAAATTGTTATAAAAATATAAAATTCTAATAAAAATACATAAGTTATAATAATTATTTATAACCATAAACATCCGATACGCTACTGAAGCAGGTAAGTCAAATTGACGTATCTAAATTCTTTGACATCTAATCTTTGACAAGTAGCAAATAAAAGCAAAAATGCAAGAAAAAATATATAATTAGTTAATTTAAGTGATTTTCATAAATGATCGGTTTACTACACGTATGTATAGTCACTTACTAGCGAAAACTTGTTCCATTATTTCACTCGATTTTTGCCGAGATCTACCGCACGCTACACAACCAACTATTTTAGAGTCTTTTTCGATAAATCGCGATAGTGTCACTGTTAATTTAAGTTCTGTCATAATTTCCATCTAGATTTACTATCTTTATACAACTATCAGTAGTAGAATAAATAATAAATAACATAAAATAAGCTCCGTAAAGACTGACAAATCCACAAAATTTCAAGTCAAATTCAAATGTGTCAAATGAATCGTCAAACAGAACTGTCAAGGATCCCCACTCTAGAGTCCTTTTTCCGCCCAACATGCATGAATACATGGATAGTATTTTGCTACTTCCTTAGTCTTCTTATTCAAAGTTTATGGTTTATTTTAATGGTTAATTGTGACATGCTGTTCATAACGAAAATTTGACTCAAATATCAAGTGTGTGATAAAGGGGGGTGGAATATTACAATATTTTTTATTTAAAAATCGGTTTCCGAAAAAAAAGTTTCCGAAAAAAACGCTTAAACACGTATATTTTATTTTATTTTTTTACATAATTTAAGATTTTTCAAAAACGTATACAGGGTGTTTCAAAAAATCTGGTCATTGATTAATCACGATTAAAGCGCTTGACGTAAAAAGCTGATTTTTGGAAAACGGATTGACTTTAGGGTGTAGAGGTTCGATAAGAAGGGATTTTTCGAAACTAGAATTCTAAGGGGGTGAAACCACCCCTCAAATATTAGAATATTTTTTATTTAAAAACCGGTGAGTTTTTCGGAATGAGTTTTTCGGAAAATCTCTTAAACATATATTATTTTGTTGTTTGGCCATTAAATAACTCGGTTATTTTGGACTTATTTAAAAAATGGTAAAGAAAAAATATGTTTCTTTTGTCGAGATCTACCAGCCGTGAAAATATCTGCACTTATTTAAGACTCACCCTGTATAATAATATCGCCATATTGTTTTTTCTCATGATGACATAAATGTGAGAAAATTTTATCCAGTTTGTATGTTAATGGAAATTCTTGCTTTGCTTTATCATCACCATTACAATAATTAATTCGACGCGAACGAAGTCGCGGGTACACCCTAGTTGATTATAAATTAGTGTTTTTAACATATTGCCATGGCACTCTACATGCGCGAAAATGTCAAAAGTTGACATATAATATGTCATTCTATTAAAAATGTCACTTTCTATCAAATAATGTAAAAAAATACCGAAGTAAAAGAATTCGAATACCGAAGAAAAATCAAAAGTTGTAGTAATTTCCGGTGAAACAGGAAGTTAAAGGGAAGGAAAAAACCTCATAAGCGTGTTTCTGGGGTTGAACTATACTACCAGTTAAAACACTTTCACTTATTTCTGGGACACCCTGTATACTTATCATTACGAAAATGTCGTTATGTTCAAATTTAATGTTATAGTACAGGATCCCGCTGCAGGATTAGTACGTTCACCATGTACTTAATCAAATTCTAATTTTTACATATATATTTATGACTGAGGGAATACAATTTTAACAGGGTGCCAATCAAAAAGCTGCCGCCAATATGTTTGTGTTTAATTAAAATTATATTAATTGATTTTGGAGACGTTCATACCGTACACTAATAATTTATACATCAAATTAAAACTATTCTAAATTTGATATTCTTGGGGTTTCTTGGGGTTCGGGAAAGCGCTGATTACTCTCGTCTACCAATCTAAAGGTTAGGTTAGGTTAGGCAGTTCATCAGCTGACTATTTTTAATAAAATAAAAATAGTTTAGGTACCTTGTAGGTCGACTCAGCCTTAAATGAGTACTTGGGATTCACAATCCAGAGTTAATATTAGGCGGTTGAAGCGTAGTGCTAACCACATTACCTTCCTTGTATACCGAACGGCTCTAGCATGGCAATCTGTACCTTGCTACTTCCAAGGCGTTAAACGCCATATACAGGAGCTATTATTATATAAAAACGCTGATTAGATTTTCATTTGCTTTAAGTATCTTTACTTGGTTTAAAAAAAAAACGTTCGGGCTAACATTATAGCCTTCATCAGTGTTATGTCATAATAAAAACAGTGTCGAATATTAATATCCAAAAATTACATTTAAAATCATCACAGCACACAATGTTCACTAAAATTAATCAAAAATTTTAGTAAACATTATGTTATGTGTGCTGTGATGATTTGTACTTCTGATATCTTCAATTTATTTCGCCTAGTTCACAACGATGGTATGTAAGGTTGGACAAGGGCTGGACACACACAGAAAGGACAATAGGTTTAGTAATATTTGGAATTAAATAAATCAGAACTAACACAATAATTACTTCGTGGTAGGTTCTTTATTGACCACAATTTGACTATTGGATATTGGACTGTCCATGAGAATACATTTTTATTTTTTAATAATCTTGTTTTAAAACTGCATAATATATCGATTATAGTTATTGCTGAAAACTATATTTATATTTTTGACAGGAAAATCTCATCAAATCAGATGGATATCCAGTTGAAACTCATTTTCATACCACCAGCGATGGATATATTTTAAGAATACATAGAATACCTCAATTGAAAAACCACTCTGCAAAAGTTGCATTAGTTCATCATGGACTCGCTTGCTCCTCAGCTGATTTCTTATTATTGGGTCCAGGACAAGCGTTGCGTAAGTATATTATGTTAATTTATTAATTTCATATTGTTGTTTATTTGGATACTAGCTAACCCAGTTAACTTCGTACTGTAAAAATTGGAAAGGGCCGGAACTGGTTGCAGTGAAGGGAGAAAATATCCCTAAAGGGGAATTCACGGTCTTTCTTCCGAGGATAAAGGCCGACCGTGAATTCCGCCCCTGGAGCAAGACCGAGCATGGAGACACCACCTACCTGCTGAGCCTTATCCAGGGACAGAACTTAAATGTAAGAACAATGTCGAGTTGGCGAGTCATCAACTCGAGGGAGGAGGGTCATGGTCAGGTTCTCACAATAGAAATTGACCTCAAATCCATGGAGGCAATAGAGAAAGAGGGATATATTCTCTATTATAGATACGGGACAACACCGGTATTAGGTGTCTAAGGAGAGACCAAGTTAAAGAGGTGGAGAAAACGGAGACAGATCCTCCAGCCTACACCTCACGGGTGCCGGAGGCAAGCTCCTCGACTGTGAAGGGCACGGAGGGCCAAATTCCAACCGTGGAAGGTTGGAATTTGGCCCTTTGGCCCTTGGAAGGCCAAATTCCAACCGTATACCCTCGGAGGAAGAACATCTGTTGTCAGAGGAGGATGGGAAATACCGTGTCCCCTCTACAACAGGGGTATAATGGGTTATAGACTGTGTGATGAGTTATAACTCAAGAAATGGGGGCACAATAGATCTTTAAGGTCGCAGTGATTAATTAACCCCCCTCTCATTCATTCTCATCCTCACAACTTCGTACTGCCACAACAGTGAAGTAAGTGTTTTTGTTTTTCGCCAATCTTGTACTGCAGACTGTTATTAGCTTCCCATACACCAACATATAAGTTGGTCCATTTGAAATGGCACGCGCCAAATCCACGGATAAAATTTTTTATCCGTGGTGATAAAAACTTTACAATTAAATACGGCAACTACTATAGAATTAAATACAATTGTCGGGACGTATAGGTAATAAACTAATGAATGTTATACGAACATTTTAGCATATATGCTACACGATGCCGGGTTCGACGTGTGGTTGCTCAATGACCGAGGAAACACTCAATCTAGAAATCACACTACTCTAAGCCCTCATGATCGTGATTTTTGGGATTTTTCTTGGCATGAAATCGGTGTTATTGACCTACCTGAAACCATCGACCTTATTTTAAAAACCACCGGTGCCAGTGAAGTAAGTTTAGTAATTTGCTAAATATTTTTAGTATGCTACAGGATGTTTCAAAAACATATGCCATCTGTCGTTCCGAACGTAAACATAAGATTTTTATATATCAATATGCAAACGTTTCATAGCTACAGCGGTTAGTCTACTTTTTTTTCGATCGAAATATTTTTCTAAAAATACTGCGACACTTTTTTTCCCTTGGTAGCGCAATTGTGTAGGCTATTTAATTGTCTCTTAATATTTTGTCGATTATTCCTCCTTGATGTAATTTTTAATCTGCCTTACTAATCTAAGTAGCATCAAAGGTGCCACGAGAAACTGCCCAACAGCAGCAATGTAAGTAATTCTAGATCTAACGCCACTGTACATTGTCGTCGGTAGATATGCCAATGCGACCATGGTTAGAATGGTCATTGACGGAAACAGTACTGGAAGAATTGTCACCTCAGTACAGGGGCGTAGATAGGTGTATGCTATGGGGGTGGTACTATGATTAAGTCGCAAAAAAATCACCGTCGGAATTTTTTTGTCGAATTAAAACGACGGCGATTTTTTTGTCTTCAAAAAGATATAAAAACATAACACAAAAATTAAAATATAGATTTGTAAATAACATAAACAAAAATGAAACAACGACGTTTATTAGTTAATTTTCTATAAACTAAAAATAAAAAACTCTAAACTATCAAAAAAAACTATAAAAACTATAAACTATAAATAAAACTACAAAACAAAATCAAGTTTTCTAGTACGCTGTTTGGAAAACCTATCAATAACAGCATCAACATTTGTTTCAATATCTTTATGGATATTGATTAGAGTTAACCCCACTAATCTGTCCTGGCCAATAAGAACACTTTGTGTGCTTTTAAATAGGTCGAACATATTATAAACGATAAATCAACATAATTAAAAGCATACAAAGTGTTCTTATATGTCGGATATTAATTAAAAAAATTCCTTTCATAGTCAATGACTATTTCAATTCTCGTATCTCGTCAAGCGTCAGGGGAGGGGTACTGTCCCCCAGTACCCCCCCCCCCTTATCTACGCCCTTGCCTCAGGAGCTTGGAACACCATCAAAAGGAAACAAAAAACTTTAATCCCTGTAGCTACGAAACAAAGTAGAATCGAACCTATACTTAACGAAAAATACTTCTTATTTTTATGTGAGGAATCTGCCACATATGTTTAACCCAACCCAAACCAAAAACCCTGTTTAAAATTGCCATTAACTCTATTGTTTGTGAACATCAAATACTGAGACCTGCTGCATGAGAGTATATGTGAGTAAAATAAATGAGCTAGCTACTCAAAATAAATTAAAATAATACCAAAGATAACATATATCACAGATAACATATTATATTATGTTATCTGTGATAATATACGGGGTAGCCCGAACAAATTCGGTAACATTCTGCAGATAAAAATAAGTAAAAAAGTATCTTACGCGTAAAATGCGCCCTCTACAAGCAAGAGTCATATTGACATCAAAATCTCATGTCAAAAAAATCTGTAAATACTGACGTTACTTCATAAATTATTTGGAAAAAATCTCGAAATAAAAATGAAATTTCTACACCCTGTATCTTCGAAACTAAGAATTTTAAGACATACATTTTTACGAACTTTTTTACTTATTTTTATCTGCAGAATATGCGGCCGAAGTCTCCGGAATACATTTCGAACCACCCTCTGTATAATATACCTACATTCCATAATAAAAAATCTCGACTTTTTAAATAGAACATTCTATATCTTTCTTTAATATTATGTATAAATAAAATTTAAACCAATACCCTTAAACTTTGATTAAGTCTATCATATTATCTGCCGTAATAAACAGGGTGGCCCATTATTACCTAAGTGTCCAATATGGTTGTTGTTGACATAAATATGGGGAAAACAAGTTTTATATTAATGTTGCATGATTTATAAAGGGGCATATTCTAAAAATAATTTACTGTTTACGGGGTTAACAAAAAGTAATAATGAGGTTGTAGGCTTTTTTTAAATTGCAACCCCCGTTTTTCTTGCAGAATTGGATTCAGCATAAAATTCTGCATAAAATACAAAAATTTTATTTGAGGGATTGTGCTGTGTGCCATGCTGTTTCTTATTTACTACAACCGTTGATTGAAGAAATAGGATGCGCAACCTTATGGGCGGTTTCGTGGCACCAAACCTGTTCGAGATGTAGCTGGCGTTACCGTCAGTCTGTCCGAGATGTAGCTGGCGTTACCGTCAGTCTGTCCGAGAATTCCGAGATTTAGTTTAGCCCTGCTGATACTCGTTTACAGCACAGCAGATAAAGAATATTGTACCGTAGCTGTTTTCAGCAGACAGAGTGAGTGGTTGCCGGAGACAGTGTTGCCAGAACTCCTGATTAACTCGTAGATTTACGGATTTTGGGTGCAGTACGTTAATAATACGGATTTTTTGTCATTAAACAATTTAATATAATATTGTTTGATTTATATAATTAATATAATGTAGCAATAATATCTGTAATAAAATATATTACAGATATTACACATTTCCATATGGCAACACTGTCACTTTCAGATCCACACCGTCTTCGATATGCCTTCGCTGGCCGAATTAGACAAAATAAGTGTTTTATGCGTTGACCGCAGAGCGATTGATGTCTCCACTGTACGGCACTTGAGACGTATGGGGAAATCAAATCATCCTTGTCACGAATTCGCCTATTAGGTTGTGTATCTTCCCAATTATTTCAATCAACGCTAAAATTTTGGTTAAAAACAGTATATCCGAAAAGAGTGAATTTAATTTTATTAATACTTACCTATATTCTGGTTAGGACTGTTTTTTAATATGTATAATAATAATAATGAAAAATAAGCACATTTTTTGAATAAAAGGAATTGATAATGTGAATGATAATTGATAATAAAATAAATTTCTCAATTAATATTTGATAGACTTGGTTATCAACAGTTGTTCCCGTGGATTACTTAAATATCTACAAATTTTGTAAAAAATAAAAGCTAACACACATTTCTTGAACACACCAAAATAATATTAACTAAACAAAACTAGAAAAGTAATTTTTACTGCATCACAAGATAACCCAAGGATAACAGAATAATGCCCGGATCCCATTAGCATCACGTCACGCCACGCGACGCCATCCCACGTCACCCCACGTGTTGAACTGTGGGAAAGGGTGTTTACCATTTACAGGCTTATTTAATTCTATAAATTTTTTATTATAGTCTTTATAATAGCTCCAGAATTCTGGATTTCTATTTTTCTTGTAGTTATACAAAGCTTTATCGTGTTGTATAACTACAAGAAATTTAATATAGGAAAAACTAATAAGGATATATTATATAGGAATTCCGTACCTTTTCTATTAATTGCTTCTGTTGCATTTTGTTCAGTTAGATGACCCTGGCACGACAAAATATTTGCATCAACTACAAAAGTAGATAGCTGCGGGGCTAGAAAGACAAACGGGGAATAACACGCCGCGCCGTAACACGCGTTGGTAAGATCTGAGACAGACAAATCGCCCATCACACGTGTGATAGCGTGGGATGGCGTGGCGTAACGTGGGGTGCGCTGGCGTGAGCCTAGTGTCTACGCCAATACATGTATTTAAATAGAAAAACATACGCACATATCTCCATGATGTCATGTGGCATGGCGTGGCGTGTTGCTAATGGGGTCCCGGCTTAAATCCATGAAGGGAAACTCATATTTTTAAGAACAGGATTAAACAGAACACATATTTATTAAACAGAACACATATTTATTAAACAGAACACATATTTATTAAACAGAATTTAAAAAACGAACATTTTTTGCATGCAGAGTGTTCCTATATTTTTAACGGTTTCGGAGATATTCGCATCTCATATTATCATTCGCATCTCATATTATCATCACTCTATATTACATATGGGTCTTTCGATAGTAAAATATAAGGCAACAAATGATAAGGTGGCTTTGACAAAATTCACTTTTTTTCAGAGTTTTTTTTTGTGTATACCGAAGTTTTAAGCCCCGTTCTCAGAACAGCGACACGTCAAAAGAACCAATGAGATTTGTACAAAATTCAAACAGCTGTCAATTTTAAATTTAGTACAGCTCCCATTGGTCGTTTGAAGCGTCAATCAGTGTCGCTGGCGACACGACGTCGTTCCGAGAACGGGGCTTTATGATCAAGTTGCCTTACACTTTGACACTAAGAAATTCTAATGTAATTTCCACTTGTTCTACCCGTCATCCTTCAAGGTACGCTTGACTATCCTTTGATTTCAATATTGTTTGGAGGTTTATTCTAAATTTTTTAATTTACATGTTTTAAATACATTTTTGGTATAACAGTATAATTGCTGATGTATTCTAAGTTATTAATGTTTTAGATTTATTATGTCGGGCATTCACAAGGGACGACGACTTTGTATGTTATGACTGCCGTTTTACCAGAATATAGTTCAAAAATTAAAGTAGCTATCAGTATGGCTCCGATTGCTTTTTTAGGTCATTTGAATAATTGGGTACAAAAGTATTTAGCAAGATTTGTATGGATTTTTACAGTAAGTAAGCTTTAAGGATATTTCTAACTGCAGTTCTCCCATATTATACTGGGTGCGTCTCAAGAATGGCTCACCCTTAAAACATTTTTATTTTTTCAAATAAAAAAACGAGAGTTGGTATGATAGTATATTATGTCCTAATTAGGATTGATTGACGTATTCAATTATTTTTGGTTACTTCCTGTTTCACCGGAAATGACTACAACTTTTGATTTTTAAATGGCACCCTCGGTATTTCTTTACTATATTCGGTAGAAAATGACATTCTGAATAGAATGACATCTCATATGTCAACTTTTAACATTCTCGCTTAATAAAAAAATCGTATTTTAAATTTCAATCTAGAGTGCCATGGCTATGTTAAAAACACTCATTCTTAATAAAGGAGCCGTGGAAAAATAGATTTGATCGTCTATGTTTTTAGTGTCTTGTCCTGGCCATTTAAAAGATGCCCAAATCGTATTTTTAATAATATCTCATTTTTTTCAAATGGAATGAGAATGGCCCGTTAGCATTTTTGGAAAAAGCATTTTTTTCGAATAATTTGATACCGCACACTTGGTATTTCGTGTCAAATTTTCGTTATGGACAGCATGTTATAATTTTAAATAAATCATATGCGAAAATGTCAAAAGTTGACATATGTTATGTCATTCTATTAAGAGTGTCCTGTTCTATCGAATACAGTAAAAAAGTGACCAAAACAATAGACATGTTCACTAATTTTTAATTTCAATGAATTTCGATAGCTACATATGAGTAAAAAAACATGACACTCAAAATTTTTCTTAAAAACTATAATTTTCTCACATAAAAGCAAAACAAAATTGAGAAATGCAGCAAGGCTAGAAAACCTACCCGGCTAGAGGCTACCTGTTTTTGACGTCACTGCTTTGATCGATCTATGGTGTCCGTACGATCGTGCACTTGCCGCATTGTTTTTGCAGACGTTCGCGAAGGCGTATTGTTTATTTTCATTGTTTTGATGTTTTAAAGAAGTAAAATGATTACAGATTACAGTTGAGGTTACTGATGATGCTAACATGGTTAGCGAAACGCGCGTCCAGTGTAAAATGAGTTCAAATAAGTGGTGTTTTGTCCCTGGGTGTATTAATACTTCAAAAAATAATCCACAGAAGTTTAAATCGTTACTTTGCGCTCCTTGCTTTTAATTCTTATTTTCTATTTTTAAGTGCATTTAATTTTAAGCTTGTTTTTAAAAAGTTTTTTTATCAATTTTTTCACTTGTAAATTTTTCGCTTAATATGGGTCCTATAGGGTGTCCAATTTAAAATGAGGTACATGGGGATCTTGGAAACCGTTGGACTTACAAAGTCGATTAAATGGAAGCAAAGTTGTGCATTTATGTGCCCAAAAATAATCTATGTCTATTTTTTTATACAAGGTGAAAAAGAAAAAATGAACATTTTCGAAAAACGACCATATTTTCTTTATTATTGGAGCTAAGGTAATCAAAATTTCAATATATGGGCAAGGCAACATGGCAATTTTAAAAATGATATCAAAAAACACCTAGGCCTTCTATGTTGTGTACGGCCGAGGTCAGCTTTTATTTTTCTTATGAGCGCCATATTTAAATTTGGCATTTTAAAAATCCTTATTAAAAATGTTTTCAAGCATGTATTTCAATATGGCGCTCATAGGAAAAGCAAAAGTGCACTTCGGCCATGCGCAACGTAGTACACTTAGACTTTTTTAGACATAATTTTTAAAATTTCCATATTGCCTTACCCCTATGTTAAAATTTTGATGAACTTAGCTCCAATAATAAAGAAAATATGGTGGTGTTTAGAAAATGCACATGTGTTTAGAAAATGCATGCATTTTTCTTTTTCTCCCTGTATTTGCGTAGCGGTATATGAATATTAAATAAAATAGACCTAGATTATTTTTGGACACACAAAAACGCAACTTTTCTTCTATTTAACCGATCTTGTAACTTTAACGGTCTTCAAGATCCCCATTATTCCCCATGTAGGTACCTTATTTTAAACTGGACACCCTGTATACGTGTGCGAAATTTCAGGTCAATACAAATAAAATTTAAGATTTGGCTCCTTCTCCTTAATACCTGTATCAGATCAACAATACGATGCAAAAAGTTTCTCGTATGTTTACAGTGTACTTTTTGTAACTTTTCATAGAGAATATAACAGAGTATTTTTGACAGATCTCTGTAGAAGAAAGTCATAATAGATTTGTCATATTGTGACATAACTTGTGATTGTTATGTTTGTTTGTTGAGAACCGGATTATATTAAATTTTCGCCTAATTTAGTATTTTTGTATCTCTCATAACTCAAAAAGAAATTAGTGTAAACCATTCAAAACGAACAATTTGCTTTATTTTAAGGAATCCTTTAAAACGTTTCAAATACATTTTTCTGTAAAATAAAATGGGAAAAACTTATTTATCATTTTTAAATTTACATGGGATTTACTATGTCAAATTCAGATTTTGCCAATTTTTGCCCTGCTTTGATTCGCAATGCATGTCACTAATTACTAAATTATTTTTATTCAGTTTAGAAACTTCTACCTTCTTTTTTCATTCCAGCCTTAAACCATTTCCGAAGTCTGCAATATCGACACTGGTTCCTTTTGTCTTTATCCACCACACAATTTCTCGGTTAAATCTGAAATAATGCAAATTTTCAGTTTAATATGATAATTAAAATTTGCCCCCCTAATTAAAATTTTGTATTGTTAAAAACCAAGTGTTATTTGTTATCGCTTTCAAGTAAACCCGTCCTCCATCTCACTAAGTAGCTTTGTTTTTAAACTAGTAATAAACTCCAAATATTAATCACAAATTTAATATACACACTACATCCGAGCACAACGCGATATGTTGTTTTACGTGATATTGGCTTGTTCTGTTAGAAATTCCACAGCGTGCAGACAGCACCGTTTAATACCGAAACCGACAACACCGCGCGGAAATACCGATCGAAGCAGTGACGTTAAGCCGCGTTTAGCGGATTCAAACGATAACGATAATTTCGCACGGATTTTTGAGGCATAAGCCTTTTACGGAATGTTATGAAACTTTGCATACTGAGTTTTAATGTCATAATGAAGGATTTTATGAGAAGTAAGCACGTTTTAATTTTTTTGTAAACATTTCTATTGAATACGTCAATCAATCCTAATTTATGTTATATACTAACAATAAACCAAATCTCGTTTTTCTATCTGAAAAAATAAAAAGTTATGAGGTGAGCCACTTTTGAGATGCACTCGGTGTAGACGACAACGTGGCTATAAAAAAACACAGTAGAAATGCGGCCCTAAGCACTAATTTTCAGTCTCGATCCAGATTCCAGACTCGCTCAAGAGATCAGATGGAGGTAGTCTACAGCAACACACCTGAATACACGTTATCCGTGGAAAAAACAATCAAATATAATAAAATATTTACAGTACGTCTATCCGTCCTGTACATACGGGGTATCCGTAAACGATATTCTCTCGATGTTCCTCGTAAAAAATTAGACCACGCGTCCCATCAATAAAAATTCGACAAATTTGCAAGTAGCCAATGAAATGACTGGGCGGAGTGTTTAGTAGAGTGTGACATACTCGTCAAGTCCACGTGGACCTTCTCCCGCTTCTATTTACGTCGTATCTAATTTTGCAGGGTGGGACTAATGTTGCACAAGAGTCTTGAAAAAATCTTGCAAGACCAAGACTCTTGCAAGAAATTCAAGACAAGACTTTCAAAATTTCTTGTCTTTAATTTCAAGACAAGACAAGACTTTAATATGCAAGAAATTTCAAGAGTCTTGCAAGATTTCTTGAATTCAAGATTTCTTGAAAGTTAGAAATGATTCATTTTTTAAGTGATAATTGGGTCTTTGCGCAAGATATGCCGGGTTTATACAACATTTACATAGTCGTAATCACAATCATAGTCATAATCATAAAAGTTAAACTATCCACTTCTTATAAACCTGTTGAACTTAGCCTTTAATTATGTTACCCAACTTCACTGATATGAAAATTATGATTATGAAAATGTTCTATAAACGCACATTAAAATTGCGTTGTGATTATGACGATGATTAAGACTGTGATTAAGATTACGACTTATGCAAATGTTGTACAAACCTGGCATTAATATTGACCAGTGTTCATTATTTTTCTATCATAGCCAGTGTTTTAGAGTTGAGAATGAAATAAAGTAAGAGAGTTGAGAATGAAATATAATTTAGAGTTGAGAATGAAATAAAATAAAGTCGTGGCAACAAACCGTATATTGGGGTAATTGGTATTATACACAAAATTATATTGGTATAATAGTATTATAAAAAAACTAACGGTAGTTGAAACTAATGGTGGGTTCGTGGAGCACGTTATTTGTGCTATTTGGTACTACTTTTCATGCACGAAATTGCTCCGCGAACAAAAAGTAATATCAAATAGCGCAAATAGTACACTCTAGCATGACCTTTCCGTACACCCTATCTCCAAACTTTTCCAACCAATCTTCCATAATAAAAAAATAAAATAAATACCATAAAAAATAAAAGTAACAAACGGGTAGCCAAATAAGAACATAATAAACTAAAAAGAATTAACAACTAGAACTAAAAAATGAACTTATGGAAATTCATCCATCCAGGAATTCAAACAAATTAAACTTCTTACCGATTCTGAATTTAGCCGGTTTCTGTGTTTCCTTATTACCAGTATATATTTCGTATGGCAGCAAAGCTATTCACAAGGGCTATTCACAATATAAACAATAATAAAATATACATACAACCACACACACACGTATTGTCATCAAACATGAAGTCCAAACAAGAACAATACAATGTAAAAATAAAAAATATATGTGCATATAAAAATTACGAAATAAAATTTGATGAAGTGACTGTGGTGGATTAAAGGTGGATGTCTAGCGCCTTCATCCAGTGAACTACCTCCTCGGAAGCTTCATGTATGTTAGACATTGTTCCCGGAAATTTTCGCAAAGGGCATTCTGTGACAATATGAAATGTTGTTTGTTGTTGGTGCCCGCAATCACAGCTAGCATCCTCTGATATTCCCCACTTGTGCTTCATATACTGGCATCTTCCGTGATCAGTACGTATACGGTTAAGGGTCGTCCATGTTCTTCTGGGGAGGTTGAAACCCGGGGGCTTGTGTGACGGATCGATAATTAAATTTGCCGAGTCGGGGTTTGACGTATACCATTCATTCTGCCAGGCTGTTTTAGGTAGAAAATCTTCACGGATTAGTCTTTCGCCCAGTTTCCAAGAAGGTCTTCTAGACTTTAGCCTTTGCCTTGCCTTTGGTTATCTAGGCAATCCTGGTGTAATGGTAAGTCAGGATCTGCAGAACATTTTCCCCATTCTTTTTTTAGTGCTGCTTGGCGACGTATTTCCGGGGGCTCAATATTTGACAGAACAGTCAACCATTGTGTCGGTATGGACTTCACTGTGCCTGATATAGTCCTCATAGCTTCATTGAGCTGGGTGTCAATAATATTTGTGTGAGCACTATTGGCCCACATAGGACAGCAGTACTCAGCCACCGAGTATACGAGTGAAAGCGCTGTAGTTTTTAGGACTGGTGCGTTTGTTCCCCAACTTGTTCCAGATAGTTTGTGAAGTACGTTGTTTCTAGTTTTCAACTTGGAGGCTATTTTAGTTAGATGTTGTTTATATGTAAGGGAGCGATCCAATGTCACGCCCAGATATTTTGGGAGATGGTTGTATTGCAGTACATGATTTCTGAATTCAATCTGCGCCCTGTAGTTCGCATATTTATTGCTTAGATGGAACATAGTAGATTCTGTTTTATTTACGTTGATCTTGAGCCTCCATGTATGTAGAAACTTTTCTAGCATTTGCAAATCACTAGTGAGCACTGCCTCCGAACTGTTAAAATCATTCGATTGTGTCACTAGGGCTATGTCATCGGCGTAAATAAACTTTCGGGCTCTCGTTTCCGGTAGGTCAGAAATATATAAATTGAAAAGGAGCGGGGCCAGTACTGATCCTTGTGGTAATCCGTCATTTAAATTATATAGCTTGCTTACATTTCCATTTAGGTGAACTTGGAACTTTTTTTTTTCTATTTAGTAGTTGTGCAATTAGCTTACATGGTATCACCCTTATGAATTTTAGGACCATTCCCTTTCGCCATACCGTATCGTACGCCGATGTTAGATCGATGAACACAGCCACAGACTTCTTCTCTTGAAATCCCCTCTCTATATGAGTTGTTAGCGCTAGAACTTGGTCGCTGCAACTTCGGTTTGGTCTGAAACCGGCCTGTTCTATAGGAATCTGTTCTAAGATAGTTGGTGCTTGTCTATTATACAGAAGTCTCTCCAGCAATTTGTAGCAAACACTCATGAGTGCAATGGGCCTGTAATCCTCAGCGTTGTGTCCAGATTTAGATGGCTTTAAAATGGCTACTACCTTTGTCCTTTTAAATAGCTTCGGGAGCCTGCTTGTTTTTATTATTTCGTTGAACATTAGGGCCAGCATACTTGAGGAACTCGGGGTAAATGCCATCAAAACCAGCTGCTTTGCCCAGTTTTATATCACGTATGGCTAATAGCATTTCTTCTGAACAGATCTCTCTCGAAAGTTCGGATGGCTGCGCTTGCAGCATTTTGGATTTTAATTCATATTTGATTTCCCTGGATTTTTGTTTATCGTTATCTTTCGGTGATGTCGTTAGGTTGACAATTCTGGCTGCTATTTTGTTAGGGTTTATTTTCGACTCGATGTTGTTGATTGGAATGCTACTTCCTAATTTTCTTAACAGATTCCAAGCTTTTTTACTCGAATGTTGAAAATTCATATTTTCTGTTAAGGTGCACCATTTCTCTTTCCTGGCCGAATCCAAGGCCAAGATCAGTTCGTCTGCCACGTCAGAATCCTGTGTCGACTGAAAGTCGTCATAAAGTTCTTGGCATTTTGGGATCCATCCAGGGATATAATCCTTCCTAAAGACTCTTGGGACATGCTTTTTGGTAATAGAGTGGATAAGTCCAACAAAACGCTCATAGGAGACTGGCTTCGGAGGGATCCATTGGATAGTAAAATCCAATTCTTCGGAAAACTCCTCCCAATTGGCTTTTTGAAAGTTCCATCGCGGTTTTGGTATGGATCTCACTATGGGGATTTGGAGGCCAATATTTATCAGGACCGGTCTGTGTTGACTCCTAGGAAATCCGCTCAGTACTTTCCTACTACTATGTAGCGGCAGTCCTTTGTTGTAATCTTGTACCCATCTGGCCGAGTGAAAGGTTCCTTTATCCTTGGCGTCAAAAAGCCAGAAAAGGTTTTCTGTTTCAGCCCAATCAGAAACTCTGGCCCCATCATCATTTGTAGCTCTATAGCCCCATTTTGTATTATGGCTGTTAAAGTCGCCTATAACTAATCCCGGATGTTCTATATTTTGTATATAGTCATTTATCCATGGTTGTGCTGGAGACTTATAGACATTTATAATTTCAGTATCGGCGACTTTCAACCTGATGACATAGATGTTGTTGTCCGATTGGGTTCTAATATTTGTTACAGTTGTAATGCCATTTTTGATGTATGTTGCAGTGCCATATTTCGGGTGATATGTAGCAGCAGCCAGTGTAAATCCTGGGATCTTGCATCTAGTTTTGAGCTGAGATTGATCCGAGCAGTGTGTTTCCTGCAATAAAACAACATCCACCTTATTTTCTGTCAGTATCTTAGTAAGACAGTCACTTTTGGGTCTGCTTACGCCCTCTATATTCAGTTGTAAGATCCGGAGGGTACTACCCAAATCCTTTGTCAGGTAGTTCCGAGAGGGACTGTTTTGGATCATATTGTCGGAGTTATGGTTGTGGTTGAGTATCCCTTATGAAGCTGGGATATCCTCAAATAAGCGTACAGAACGCCAGAGGTCCAGCAGCCAAGTTTGTAGACTATTTAGCCGTAGCTTTATGCTACGTTGCCCAGGGTGCACCACGGGGAGGCTAGTCTACATGCACCCCTTGTAGTCAATTAATTATTACCAGTGCTGCCTGCGAAAAGAGCCTTTCTGGGGGAACAGAAGTAGCCGGTGTACAAAAAAAAATCACGAGCCATTTTTGACAGCACTGGGAATATGGCACTATGGCTCTGCCACCATGCTAAAATGTCGTTTTAACGTTATCGTTAAGATTTTTTTTGCTAAAATTAGCATCGTTGTTGTTCATTTTTCCGTATTACATTTTGTATACGACGCTTTCTATGAAATAAAATATAGAAATATTATTAGCTTTATGTTAGAATATAAAATCAAATGTTTTCAAGACAATAAATTTCAAGAGTCTTGCAAGACAAGACAAGACTTTGCCATTCAAGAAATCTGCAAGACAAGACTCTTTGAAAATGTCTTGTCTTGAATTTCAAGACAAGGTGGGACCGTGTGCACCGGCGCTCATTTAGCCTACCCACCAAATTTGGTCGCGATCGGACGACATCAAATTTTGACGTTTCTTACGTCAAAACTCACACACAGGGACACGTGTCGTACACAACAAGTTGGCCTTGGATGCGTCGACTGATATACATCTACTACCAAAAATGGCTGAAAACCTCTGAATATTAACAAATTATTGAAAATTAAAAAACATTTTCAAATTAGTCAAAAATACTACTTTTTTGTGCTAGTTTTAACTTATATAAAATATATGAATTATAGAACTAATTATTACTACTATTGTATACCTACTAGGAATTAAAAATTAAATTTTAGGAATTCACACAATCTTTTGGTCATTTTGAAGTTATGTTTGGTCCAAATGTTGCAAATCAGAAAATCTTGGATATATTTCTCTTCCTTAATAGGCCAGTAAATATGAACGAAAACATGAAATCCAAAATAAATGCTTGGGTCCCTGCAGGAGCATCTACTAAGCAAACTATTCATTATTCACAACTTATGAATTCAGGTAAGTTTCGTTATAAACAGAACGTAAAATTGGCCGGAATACCGTCCCCATTTATGAACTATTTTTAAGCTGGTTATCCATTTAGGGGGTTATTTTTGGGGGAAGCGTATAGGAACTCCTTTGGGAGCATCCTACCGGGGAAAACGAATGGATGCACAAATGGCATCGAGAGGCGGATGGACTTAAAAATAAGTCAACGGAATCAGATAGGTAATGGAAGACCACCCGATTATTTTAACTTTAAAAAACGGTAACGAAGATCGCCCAGCAATCCGGCTGGCAACCGGCGCCTAATCGGGTCCGGGTCGATTGATATGAAATGTGCTACCTGGCCTGAGAATGTGCATGAGGCAACTCAGGCGAAATGTGCGACCGAAAAGAACAATAATTGACTACACAGGGTATTATTCGCCTCATTCGACACGGAGTATTATAGCCATACCGTTGATTGAAGAAATAAGAAGATGCGCAACTTTATTGGCGATTTCGTGCCACAAAACCTGTCCGATATGTCTAGGGTTACCAACGTCCGGATTAATCCGGACATGTCCGGATTTCCACTACGTCCGGTTGAGACTGGGCCGATTTTTCATAAGCATCCGGATTTTAATGTTCCATTAAGAAATGTCACAATAATTCAAAATAATATATTAGTTTTAATAAATTTAGTTACTTATAAAATCGTTGATGTTGTAAGGCAACATAAAATATAATTTTATTAATGCATTACGCGGACGGTGCTGTTCGCCTGGAGAGCATTAAAGGGTGAGTATTTCATTCAGGTTTGTGCTGAAATGAGCGCCACTGAATCTACTTAATAGTTAAATAACATTAAAAATTCAGAAAACTGTTATTGGGAAAAGATATTTGCCCAAGATGGAACTTCATTCATGCAATAAAACAAATAAGTTTCTACTCTACTAAATCTAAATATATTAATTAAAATTAATGTTTGGTTATAATATACGTTTGCTTTATAACAACCAAAAAAAGTAATGAAATAGGTTTAAATTTTGAAAAAGAGGTTAAAATGTTATTTAAATTTGTAATTAAAATATATAATTAAATTGAAAACTAACAGGTTAGTCGTGACTGATTAAGTTAAGAAAAAACTCAAAATTTAAGTGAGGATGCAGTCAATAATCACCACATAGGCTAATAAAACTACTTTTTCAAATTTGTCAAGCTTTCGAGAATTTTATTCCCATCATCAGGACAGTTTGACTGAGTCAATTAGCAAAAAAACATCCTTTGCACAAAAAGGCCTTAAAAACTAGCATCGTATGACATTGGAATACAAGGACATTTCCTTTATAAAATATTAAAATACATATCCAACGATATTACTTTTCTTTTAAACATAAACAAAAAGATTTTTTAAAATTTAATTTCTACATTGTTATTTCGAGCTCGATCAAACAGTGACTGTTTTCAGAAAACATGTCAAAGGATGTTTTTTTGCTAATTGACTCAGTCAAACTGTCCTGATGATGGGAATAAAATTCTCGAAAGCTTGACAAATTTGAAAAAGTAGTTTTATTAGCCTATGTGGTGATTATTGACTGCATCCTCACTTAAATTTTGAGTTTTTTTATTAAATTTAAAAGTATATAATTAAGTGAAATATTAGAGATGTTCAAAACTACTTAGAAAAAAAAATAATAAAATTAAATCAGACTTTCCTATCTATACCTTTTTATAGTGTGCCCCAAAATAAAAGTATACAAGCCTGGGTAACTTATTCAACAACAGCAGCTGAGTACGGCAATGTTGAACAGGCTCAGGGTTGAACAGGGTGAACTCCAGAAACTACGGCTGCATCATCAAGGCCACAAATCTTTGTTGAGTTGAAAAACAAGGTGGATGTCTCGACACCATGTAATCACGTGCAAGCGAATGAAAAAAAAATAAAACCATCAAAGCAAGAAACGAAAACCAGGAAAAGTAAAAACCCGAAAGAAAGACCAAAACCCTGTGGACAATATTTAAATTAATATTTGTGGATTTTAAGTTATGATACCTTACCCCAAAGCGTAACTAATAACTCATCCAACTACCATCGGCAATTAACAAAATTAGTGGATCCATTCAAAATTGTTGTCCAAATCTAAAGAAAATTATTAAGAATCAGAATTGACAAGGTAAAAAACGTGAATAAGTTAACTTACGAAATATATGGCCACATGGCACACAAAAAAAACAATCTATTTTGGTTCAGGCAAATTCTTGTAAAAATTTATAAAATTATTCAACAGCATCCAAAAATTACGCTGGTAATCCCCACAGGAACCAACCAGGCAAGGATTCCACCAAAAAAAAACGATCTCCTCCCGATCGCCACGCCAAGATGGCGATCGGAGGGAAAAGAACAATCCACAGGAACAATCATTGACCAAAATGAACCTCCAAAGATTTGACTTTTCCTTAGTATATTCCATGTATATTCTGTGGATTTGACAATCCAGAAATGACATCAGAAAACGGAAGTTAGCGGCGTTGCCGTATAGACCAAATAAACAGGTATTTTGGGGAAAATATTAGAAAGATAAATTGAAAAGAAACTGTCAACACTGCGTAGCTCCACCCGCTGCTGTTAAATAAGTATATATAAAATAATTATAAAGACATATTTAAATTATAATTAAGAGAAATTTATAAACAACTAATTAAAAGAGAGAGGGCTATTATCAAAAAAGGTAGCAAGTTTAAAAAACATGCTATATACAATGTTTTAAGTTCTGAAAGTTGTAAATGTAATAACTTTAACATTAATAAATGCACCTTTATTATTTTTACTAGAAGTAAATGTAAATTTTAATTAACACGATTATAACACTAACTTAATTAAAGTATACAATGTTTACATTTTATAAAAAAGTTGAGATTACGTATAGTTTATTTTATAAAATGGCTATTGACCTATTTAACTGCTGTTTTCATATCTATTGTGGCCTTCCTACAAAAGTACAATATGATCGAAAAGAAAAACGGCTTCAGCGATGGCTATGAAATGAAGATCATTTGGCTGTCATTTTTGTAAAATTATATGGAGAATGTCATCGATATTTATTTCCAAGCCAGTGACGTAGAGAGCAAGTCGCGGGCCCGTGTTCAAATATTTATTGGGCCTTTTACGCCCTCAATAAATAATTATTTTGGATAATGTTCTGATATGGCTTCAAGATATTTGTTCTGAAGCATCTTTACTTCCTGTAGTAGGTAATTCTGCATCGGAATAGTTGTAAAGTACAGAGAGATTTCGTTCACATTTTAAAATTACTTTTCACTTCCTATAAACCGGAAGGGTTTATAGGAAGTGAAAAAAAGTTTTTGTTTCGAGGACATTTTGATTATTTTATCAAAATATAGTCTTGATCGTTTTATTCTTTTACTGCTAGAGTTGCAAGATTATCAGTTTCATTTTTCAATTTATCGAACTGATTTCTAAGGTTCGAGACGCTTTCAAGTAGTTTTTCCGAGTTTTTCAGACCTTTGAAACCACATCTAAGAGATAATAGTATTTTCTAAAAATATTAAAATTATATATTCTAATGTTGTTTTAATATATTTAGTCTCTGGATTTATTTTCATAGACTTCTGTTTTCTTATCGGATGTTAATATGATTTTTGTCAACGCTTTCTGTAACGGTACATCGATTATACAAGAGCAACATATGTGGATGACCAAAGCGTACGGTTTAATATTTTTAATGTTCTTGATCTAGATCTAGGTTTTGAACATTTATTTTCAAGCATCTCTCATTTACTCGTACTGTGAACAAAAGGCATTTATTTATTTATTTATTTATTTAAATTTTGACTGATTTTTTCTACATTCGCATTTAAAAACTGTAAAATTAATATTTTTATAATAAATATTATTTATTTCTCTTTTAATTATATGTATTTCTATTTATTTCTGGAATTTGACGTACCTATATGCGATGAACAAATTATTATTTTTCTTTTCATTTTAGGTCACTTTCGATATTACGATTACTTTGTTGGCAATATCGCAATTTACGGAAGCATTGAACCACCTGACTACGATCTGGGACATGTAAACTTTCCAAATTATTTATTCTGGAGCAACAATGACCTGTTGTCGTCAGAAAAAGATGTAAAGCTGCTGTGTAAAGCGATTGGATCATCTTGTACTATGGTTTCGTTCAGCCATTACAATACAACTCATCGCGATTATTTGTATAGCCGATTTGCTTCAGAAAAAATATATTCAAAAATAGTCAACATATTTAATAAAAGCTGATCTATATAGGTAGTAATATACTTACTTATTACCACTATTGTATGTTTGTTATTGTCTTGTCAATTCTGAATGAGAATATAGTTCATCTTTTTGGATTTGGATTAATTGTTATGCAAATGGCCACCTTTTATATTTTTAAGACTATGGAAATAAGAAATAAACCCTTAAAACTGAAGTCATAAAATAAATTAAAGGCAGTGAAAATCTAAATAAATATACGATATACCTATACAGTCTATACAAATTTCATTCACGCCTGATGTAAACGTCTAAAATAATATAATTTTCGAACGGTAATGTTACGTTTTTCATCGGTTCCGTGTGGATAGTAAGTCACAATTTATTTAAACACAATTTATTTAACACTAATTAACAAACAATAACGATTAAAAAAAACTTAAAGAACTATTTATAACTTAGAATTGATCTAACTATTTATATAACAGGAATTTATTTTGAATTAGCGCGGCGATTGTAACTGTACGCGTCGACCGGTTGTTTTTCTCTGTCCTCCTCAGGCCTCAGGCGTCTGCTTATATATGAGAGCAACAGACAATCCAGATTTGTCCCGACAATTCCTAGCCGTTCTATAAGGTCGGCGTCGCCGGCGTATGAGTCATAGCCGAGTGGCCAAGCCTAAGGCCGAGTTCACACGGTACGGGTCCGCAACACTGTCCCCTTCTTAGGTACATGCTCGTCCCGAGATGTACACGGTGAATGAAGGTATTTGCAAAGCTGGCCCCTGGTACATTGAGAAGTCTGGTAGAAAAAGCAGTCTACAGTTTTCTCGCCCGATCTCAGCTTTGGGTTATAGCAGCAAACGAGGATCTCGATTCCCGTAAATCTAAACAAGACTTCAATCATGTTCCGGATTGTACGTCAACTCAAACCATCCAGTCCACACGCCAGCTTCGGAATGGCTAATCGTGTAATGTTATTGTTTAGCAGGGCTTCTCTCAGTTCAATCAGGGTCTTCCATAGATTGAGATAAGTCGGCTTACTCGGGGACCATTCCTTGGTGACCAGGTAGAAGATGTGACTTGCTTGACCATGTGCATTGTCGGTTAGCCTCAAGACGCTTCCCACCTCTGGATCTTGTCGGCGTAGTTCTCCGACACGCCCAGACTTCTCATTGAACGTCGCAGCGATTCCTCTGGACATCCGCAAATCTCGGGTCACACAGTGAGCGAGCGAATAATCAGGAGGCAAGGAACAGAGGTCTCGTTGTTCTTCTTTGGTTACACCATAGCGAGCCTTCTTACTGCTGTTGTATCGGGCCATGAAATCATCAAAGGACATCTCCGAATCAGGGGGATCAAAGCTGCAGGTTCTCACGGTCCCAGCACGATCTTCTATTTCGCCTTGGTAGGGGCTCAAACGGTTGAAATGAACTATCCTCGGTTTTCCTTTTGGCAATTTTCTGATAAGGTATACGACGTCATTAATCCTATCCATGACTTCGTATGGGCCTTCCCAAGAGGATTGTAGCTTCGGAGATAATCCACGACGTCTCTGCGCGTTGTATAGCCACACCAAATTCCCTGGTTGGTATCCCCCATGCTCAGCTTGAATGTCCTAGTGGTCCTTCATTCGGTAACTAGCGTTTTGAATATTTAGGCGGACTCGCTGATAGATGTCGTCCATCCTTTGATGTAGTCTGTGGACTTCTTCTCCAGCGACATCTTCTTCGGGTCGGCAACCAAACTTCAGATCACAAGGTAGACGCACTTCCCGTCCCATAACGATGCTGGCTGGAGTTTGCCCTGTGGATTCTTGGACGGATGAGCAGTAGACCAACAAGAACAGGTGTAACGAAAGGTTCTGAAGGCTGGTCAATAAAACAACTACTGCAGGAAATATTATCTTTTTTATTTTCCACGCTGATGGTTGTAAGTGTGGTTTAGTAAAAGTTCTACAAAGTTCTAACACCAGGTTTATACCCCAAAATAATAAGAATATAATATATTTGGTAATAAGTCGAAAACCAAAGGCTGTTAACACTTGTAGCGGTCTAAATAAAATGGCGATCATCCGAATTCCATTATTGCAAAAAAGCGAAATTTATAAATTGAACTACCAGGGCCATCTATATATTAGTTTATAAGAAACCTAATGTTAAGATCCAGAAACCTGTTTTACTATTATATTAAATTAATGTATTATATTTAATATTTCCCACATATTTTATTAATTATGCTACATCTGCCTCCCTGCGAACTGGAAGTCGTTGTTGCACAACACTGCAAGCTCGCATAAAGCTTATTCGATGAAAATTAGGGCGGTAGAAAATGATATGACTTCAAATGAGAAACGAGAAAAGTACCTCGTTCCATGTTTTTGTCATCTATAAGAACATACGTATCAAAACTTACTTTCTTTTTTATCCTAAATGGACCTTCAAATAGCAATAAAAACTTTTTAGTTTCCGCGCTTAACGCTGAAGAAATCGTATTGGCTCTTAACAAGACCAAATCGTTGATATTAAATGTAGGATATGGTCGAGGAGGGTGATTTATCTTCCTTCTAGTGGCTTAGAAGAGTTTCTTTGGCTAATAAAAGTCTTTTGATTTTTATCAGACACTTTACCTACATTAGTAGTATGTACCAAAGTAGCTGGCAAATAATTTGGAGTCGTAATATTTCGATGAAGCTCGTTGGGAGAAAACCCTGTTGATTCGTGTACTACGGAGTTCATTAGTTCCGAAAACTTTTGTATTTCATACGCCCATCGCGTATGTCCCGAACAATAGACACGACAAAGACGGCCGAGCTCTCTCATAACTCTCTCGGATGCATTTGCTTGCGGATGACGAACAGAACTAAAAATAACTTTGATGCTCAAAGCTTCAAGAGTTTCCCGCCACCGTTTAGCGGTAAACTGCGAACCGTGATCTGATAAAATACGTTCAGGACGCCCGTTCTTAGGAAAATAGTCTAGAATCAATTTATTAAGAACTGCACGACAAGTAGCCTTAAGTGAATAAAGAACAACGTACTTTGTAAATACATCCAACACTACGAGAGTATACGTAACACCTCCACGACTTTTAGGTAATGGTCCATACAAATCTAACGCGACGAGATCTCCCTTTCCTTCAGGAATGACAGGATTAAGCGGTGGTTTTGGCATTATGGACGATTTTGATTTTTGACAAGAATCGCAACAACGTAGTACCTGCTTTATAGTAGAGTGCATGTTTGGCCACCAAACCTCATGTCTCAGTGCCGACCAAGTCTTGTACACTCCATAATGACCCAACATGCTATGAAAAGCTTCAACAAATTCACGCTGTAAATGTTTAGGGACACATACTAAGCATGGTTCGTCCGCTGCTTGACGCTTATATAACGTATCTTCGTGGATCAGAAAACGTTTCTGCAAATCCGAATCTACTACTAACTGTGAAATAATATCCGCTAATTTTTTATCCTCGTGTTGCAGCTTAGAAAAAGACTTTAGTTTGCGCTGGAAATCAAGAGGTAACTTTATGGTAGATAATATTTTAAAACATCTCGAGTCAGATGTCTCCGGGATAGTATAGGCATCGCGAGACAACGCGTCGGCTATTATATTATTCTTTCCTGGAAGAAACTCGACGGAAAAATCATATTCTTGAAGCGCAAGTGCCCATCTAGAAATTCGTGGCGATACAAGACGACAAGATTTTATATAAGTCAGAACTCTATTGTCGGTATGTATCGTAAAGTGACGACCTAAAAGATAAATGCGCCATCGAGTAAGAGCAAAAATACAGGCTAGTACTTCTTTTTCATTACTATGATAACGAGTCTCTCTAGGCAATAATAAACGACTAGCCCACGCAACCGTGCGTTGTTGATTTTCAACAATTTGAAAAAGATGCGCGCCCAGTCCGTATTCGCTAGCATCAACACTAACATGCCAGTCAGATGATAAGTTTGGGTGGTACAGAATTGTAGCCTCAGATAATTCATGTTTTATTTTGTTAAACGCTTGTTCTTGTTCGTCTTTCCACTCCCATTTTGTCTTTTTTCTTAAAAGTCTCGACAAAGGTTCACAAAAACCCGAAAAAGATTGACAAAACGATCTATCAAAATTGCACATCCCTCAAAATCTCTGTAACTGCTTAATATTTTTAGGACGCGGATAGCTGGTTATTGCCTCTATTCGCGCTGAATCCGGTTTAATTCCTTCGCTATTTAAAATATATCCCAGAAATGGTAATTCCGTACAAAAAAATGCACATTTCTTAAGCTTCAGCGTTAATCCTACTTCATTTAACCGGTCAAAAACAAGTTTTAAGTGTCTAATATGTTCATTAAATGAATTAGATATTATTAAAATGTCATCAATATAGGCAGTTAAAAATGAATCGAACTCCGGCCCAAATACTCGACTAATCATACGCACAAACGAAGAAGACGCAGTAGAGAGACCGAAGGGAAGAACGCGAAAAACGTAGGTTTTAGAGTCAATCATAAAACCGGTATATTTCCTTGACTCCGGTGCGAGTGGTATTTGCCAGTAGCCGTTCGTCGCATCTAAACGCGAAAAATATTTACGATTCGTAGGTCCATCAAAATTAAGTGTATTCAAAATTTGCTCTATCGGTCGCGGCGCCTCATGATCCCTCTCCATTTGACTATTCAAGCGTCGCGCATCTAGACACAGTCGTATCGTACCATCTTTATTACTGCAACTACGGGAGATATAATGAAGGCGACCGTTCGATAATACTGAGACGCCCCATTTCTTTTTAACTGTTTCATTTACTGACACTCTTATATGCAACTGGTAGGTATGGTTTAATAAGTGATTTTATCAATTATTCACCCTCATGTAATGCAATTTTACACAACCTGGCACCTTAGAAAAACAAACTTATTTTTGTCTAATAAATTTTGAAAAATTTCTTGCTCAGTTTGACTTAAAATAAAATGCTTGATAGTGTTATTTGAATCAGTATCTTTTTCCACCGAAAGAGTAGCACAAGCTAATACTTCATATTTGGGTATACACCTTAAGTTAATTTTTTCATACCCCTCGTATTCATGAAAATATTTTTTCTCAGGCAGATTAACAATGTTACCATTCAACATACAAGCTAAAAAATTATTCTTTAAATCAATTGTAACTTGATATATTCTTAAGAAATCTATACCTAAAATAATAGTAATAATAATATAATATATTTGGTAATAAGTCGAAAACCAAAGGCTGTTAACACTTGTAGCGGTCTAAATAAAATGGCGATCACCCGAATTCCATTATTGCAAAAAAGCGAAATTTATAAATTGAACTACCAGG